CCATGAAAACATCGGCTCCCACTCCACCTCCTCACCAGGCCCGCTAGGCTCCTGATTTGTCTGTTGCAATCCCCTGTTCTACCAGACCAGACTGACAGGCAAATGTTTACAAAAAGCAGGGACCCAGTCCTTGTTGGGTTTTTTCTAAACACCGTTACAAGCTACGGTAATATTATTATTCAATCGACTTTCAAAAATAATTATGAGAGGCAAGGAAAACATGTTTAAGGCAATTAATGTGGTTAGCGCTAAACTGTTTTTATAAATAATATCAAAGTGCTTTGCAGAAGAAAAAGTCTCCTATTAGGTTACTGTGCAATGTCTGTGAACCTTGTAGACTGACAGAGACCTTTCTTGCTCAGTTGTGTTTCGCAGTGTTTATTGAAGAAAGTATTCATATCAACCTGTTCAATGCATTTTTGTTTTACACCATTTTACATCATGAAGCTCTTCCCTAGTTTGCAGAGAAGGATTATATGTTAGTTGGAGTTCTGGGGAAGAAAACAGTTAAAGTATTAGAAAGCACGAAGGTATCGAAACATTCAGGCAAGGCTGGGCTTGGGTTTTTTTTTCCTTTCTGTCGATAACCCATTTTGTTTACAAAATTACTGTTAGTGTTAACTTAAAGTCTTGAAGAATTGAGTTTTCTTTGTAGTTACACAAATAATAACGATCAGTTATGATCGGGCAGATTTCAAGCTACTGATTGAATTTTTCCAGATGGAATTTTTAATATATGCACATGTATTATTTGACGAGGCTTCCCCTGGGGGCTGTGTGCAATTGATTCAGTGCAGCCAAGAGTTTGAGAAGAGGATCTGTTGGGGGGGGGCAGACTGATGGACGTGCCTCTCCTCCAATCAGTGCTGTATCTCCTTCACATTGCTGTGGTGACTGTCGGAGGTGGGATGAAATCAGTCTGCCTGCACTGCCATGTGTTGTATGAAGCCCATGAAGATGCGTGGATCAAGTTTATTTCGCTGATGCTTATATCTAAAGCAGCATTCATTTGCACCCCTTCATACAGCTGGGTATTTTACTGTAATAATTCAGGTGAAGCACCTTGTTCAAAGGTACAAGAGCAGTATCTCACCTGGGATTCAAACCCACAGCCTTCCAGGTATAAGTCCAGAACTCTTACCACACTGTGGTTCCTGGACCTGCCTGTTCTGGTGTAACAGAACATTTGTGCCTGTATGATTAAACACTCCTGTATTCTCGTGTAAAGCAAGCCATAAGAAATTAAATTCTGATCTGAAAGCTGTCAGAATTAGCACAATTGAAATCCTTCAACATAGTCACTTCTCTTACATCTGAGTTACAGAATGCCTAAAGTGTAAAAAAAAAAAAGAGCTGTTTATACTGTATATCCGTCCCATACAGTTACCAATCTCAACCCAAGGGGATAAGACTGTAAACGTTATTATAGAAAAAACAACAACAAATATCACAGTTGCCTGTTTTCTTTTTTAAAATTTTCACTTTAAGGTGAGGTTGGCTACCTTGTAACATATCTCAGGTTACCAGCTTTTTTTAACTACAGTTAATAAAATAAAGGTAGGTAATGTTTCGTCTTTGTTTTAAACGTAATTAAGTCCATATTGTAATTATCCTTTGGTCAAAGGAATTGGCTGCAGCTACTAGTGCACGTAATGAACACGTTTACTCCACTCTTGTTATATAGTGATTTCTGAGTAACTACGTTGTAATTAATGAACCCTCTTTCTGAAGTGTTTCCATCATCCAGAAAAATGCTCAGGAATATATGTTATTGCTCGGACTAAAGAGGAATCTTGCTTTGAACTTTTTTTGAGAACTAGAAGCCTAATATATCATTAGGTAACTGCAGAGAATGCATGTGTACATTAGGAAAACCTAATGTATGTGGGAAATTGGGAAATACATGCATAGACGTCTTGGCAGCACCGTATTTAAACTAATAACAGGTTTTACATGATTAACACAGTTTCTCGGAGGGGTCGTAAATTTTATACTTTAAATTCATGTTAAAGTAAAGGCAAAACTATAAAGCAGACATTATTTAATTTATCTTAAAATACACACACAATTAGACCTTCCAATGCATGTCTTTATTTTCTAAAATCCAGCTATCCTAATGTTGTTGTTGTTTTTTGTTTAAAGCTAGCACTTGGCAGCGTTGCTGTAAGTAAGCTTGGTTATTTGTCTGTCACAACAGGAAGGCCAGTATCAATGGTCTCCATTTTCAAATCTCATTTGGGTTCAAGAACCCGAGAATTCCAGCGCAGGGGTCTGTGGAGTGAGTACAGACTGAAAACAATAAGACAATCCATCTCCCAAGTCCCATATTCCTTAAGACAGCAAAAACATGGGCAGACCAGCAGTTAGGATTTGTGGGATTGATTGTGACATTCTTTACAGTAACCACATGGCAAAGTGACCACGGACTCCTGACGCTGGGCTGGGTGAGTGTGTGGTCCTACGGACATATTGGTAACATAACACAATTCCAATAAGAATAATGCTTTTAATCTTTTTTACTCTGACATACCACAAAGTATGTGGTGGCATAGCTGTGTTTTTTCTTTCAAAATCAAAGCTCAGAGATATTTGTAGGCATGGGGGTTCAGCACTGACAAGGAAGATCATCATAGTTGCGAAAACTGTAGTTTGTTTGGACTATATTGTTGTTTGAGGACATTTGCTTTGAAGAATTAGTTTATATGCTGATGAGGGGGATGGTGGGGGTTTTGTGGGTATTTGTACCAGTATCTATTAAATTGCATCATTTAGTCGGGGGGCAGCAAATATAATTAACACACAGTTTCTCTTTCCAACCATCAACACTCTCTTGATGCCGAGAGCCATTTCAAATAATCAGATGGAAAACCTTTGGGGAAGAAAAATAAGGGATAAGCCCTGGTTGTTTTAAGATATCTGAAACTTTCTCCTGGACTGAGAGTTAAGGACATAAAAGGAGGACCAGGAAAAAACAGACATATGGTCACCCTTCTCCTGCTGAAGGTGAAAGTCATTTTATAGCAATCCATATCATATCATTCTTGGTAGCAACCACTGCCAAGAGGGTAAAAGGTGATCAACATTGTGTTGTGTCACTATTGTGCTGGAATTAAAAAAAGCCCTTGTTACAAGCCATGGCCAGGCCCAGCAGCTGTTCTTCAGACGGATTAGCTGTGGTTTGCTGCGGGATTAAATGAACCACCGTCGAGTTGGGGAGTGCGATATGCAGCCTGCTTAGATGGGTGGAGATCTGAAATGGGTTAAAAAGCGATCGGGAGAATAGAGGTCTGTTGCTCAGAGGTAACTTGAGCCAGCCTGCGAAGACTTGGGCAGGGGGTCAGCTGACGGAAGAGGAGAGCGCTTCAACGTCAGGTTTCACCGCGGAGGGCTACAAAAAGGGACGGGCTGGCTTAGCCGAGATCAATGTGTCTCGCTTCTGATCGGTGGATAAAGGGCTGGAGATGGAGAGCCAAGATAATGTAACAGTTAAGTAATTGTGCAGGAATGACAGCACGCGCAGTTCCTCAACCAAAGAATTCTTTGTTATGCAAAAGCAACCTACGTGTATATTGCGCTAGGTTCCCATAGGCGCTCTGCATTCTGTGACAGTTTTATATTTTGTGTTGCTAATCTGTAGCGAATTGATTGCCTGCTCATCTAAGGAATATTTCACAATGATCCGTCTCCAAACTGTCGCCCTAGCCTTTGCCCTTCTTATGCATAAAAGACATTATTTGTATCGTCTCATGTCATAGTCCGAGTCTGGGGAGTCTGTCATCAGTTCAGTTTTACCAATGTGCTGAATGAGGTCACCTTTGTTTCCTGGGTGGACTCTCACACAATAAGAGAGATGTTAAAAGGTTAATGTTTGCCTATTTTACACTTGCCCATTGTGCAGTCTAGGTCAGAATTGCTAACAGCATCAACTCCTATTTATTCGTCAATTTATTGTCTATCTGTCTGTTTATTTCTCCATTTCCTGATATCCAAGAACTGTATAACAGATTATTACAGAGCAAAAACAAATATTAACCATCTTTAGAAGACCTACTGTAACTGCTTGAACATTGTGCCCATCACTCCTGCCCTGTAGAGCTTAAGAGCACTTTTTGGATGACTTTTGGATGCAAGTTAAGAAATAGAGCAATTCCTGTGATCATTTCTGATTGTAACCCTAACCTTTGAAAACCATTATAACTTTGAGTTAAAAGCGAAGTTTGCCAATTAAAATTACACACCAGACATCTCATAGCTTTTCATGAAATGTCATGATGAAAATCTGTGGTGTAAAATTGATTTCAGCTGTGTTTCCTTGTGAAAAACAGCCAGGTACAATAAACAAGCCTTAGTAGTGTAGTGTGGCGTAACACTATACCATTATTGTTTTTTAATGTAACTTTCTAACTCTTTTTGCACCATATTTCTGTCACATTTAATTTGGGTACTTGTTATTTTACTGTTTTGTGCCATTTTTTTGTAGATTCTAATTTATAGTGCTTCATTTATTGATGTATTGAAGACTGGTTGTAAATCGCATCCCTTTCATATAAGTCCTGTACCGGCCCTTACTCGCTGTGCCTAAGGATTTCTTTTTAAATTGTTTATTGCACCCAGAGGTGGTCCTCTGTGTGAGCCTGTGTCTTTAAGCTCACAGTGTTTGGCAGCCAGAGAGGTTACACTTGCAGGCGGCTTCACTCATGTGCCTTAAAGGGAACTTTGCAAGCAAATTTGTGAAAGTACGGCCCGTCTTCGTTGAAGTGAAATGACAAAAGGAAAGAAAAAAGCAACAGCTCTGATTTGAGCCTTTATTTTAAAGGAAGGTACAGTGTGCGTCTTTTATTCGTGGCTGAGAGCGTATGCTGGCGTGTGCAATAAGTTACAGAAGGACTGAATACTAATGTACACTGCGCTCATTGGGAATGCAGCAGGTTGACTGAATGACCCAGCCCCCTCCCCCTAATTTTTTTTCCCTGTGTTGTGTGTGTACTTTTTTATTGCAGTTCGAAGGCTGCAACAAGGCATTTTCACGGCTCGAGAACCTCAAGATCCACCTGCGCAGTCACACAGGAGAAAAGCCGTATCTCTGTCAGCATCCTGGCTGCCAGAAAGCTTTCAGCAACTCCAGTGACCGGGCAAAGCACCAGCGCACACACCTGGACACTGTAAGCACATGGAAACTTAGCTCTCACATGCTTGTAAAAGACCGAGCTGCAGTGTTCCTGTAACTAGGTAGTCAGGGAGACTGAGCATCTCTGACCAAGGGACTAATTATATAGCAGGAGTTTGGATGAATTCCTTTTTAAAAAAGGTCTTGGTCGCTATGTCTTGTAAATATCTGATGAATTGCATTTGAAATAGTCCTTACTGGGAGGCCAGGATGTTCATTTCGATTAGTATTTAGCCTTAACTTATTTTGTAATGAAACTATATTTTTGCATCTACTTCTAGAGAATTTTGAATGTTGTTAAATAGGACCTTAAATAGATTTTTAAAATCGAATTATGATTTTAGAAATACGGGTGTGATGTGACAGAAAAAGAATGTCCTGATAATACAAGTTCTCTAAAATAATTACAGTGCTTCGATTTATTACCGTCTATCTCAACAGTTTCCTGAGTTATTTTTACTTTTGATTGTACTAAATTCACTTATTATAGATTGCAATTCAATACGGGATCTACTAGATATTTTCTGCAAGCCGAAAGTGTTTATTTGATCAGCAGCAACGAGAGCAGACGTGCAGACACACCGAGATGAACAACAGGGGAAGCACACTGTTACTGCAAGATAGAAATAGATTTTCAGTCCAAGTCTGCTCAGGTGACGATCTGTCAGAGTGCTGAAAATAAATGATAAAATCACTTGGGAAAAACCTATTGGTATAATTGGTACACTTAAGCTCCTTGATGCTGGAATAGGTAGGCTCTGATAAGTTATCTAAATCATGCATACTGTATATCTAGTGTACTATTATTGTATGTTCTCATAAATATATTTCTGCTGACATATAGGGAGTGCATTGTTCTTAGCTATTTCCTGTATGCAGTCCTGTCTTCATGTTCATATAGCACAAATTATAGCTACACCGTAGGAGTAAAGTGAATGTTCAAAGCGATCCCTTGATGTTCCAAACTAGTAGCACTATTCTGTACTTTTTTCTGCTTAGGCTTGACAGAAATATAACTCAACGCCCCAGTTCCATGGGAAGACAATTAGTGTATTAACTCAAAATGTAAAGAAAAAAATGACGAGTGCCAAAGACAGTATGCGGGCAGTGGCACAGCACTCTCCACTGCCAGTTTATAAAGTAATCAATCCCTAATGTGTGAAAGCAGCAGGAGAGCCATCACTCAGTTCTCTTTCTGCGTCTTGGCTGCAAGTAGCACTGTGCTCGCTGAGAAAAGAGCAGTCTGCTTTATCCCATTTCACCGCTAGACTTTCCAAGGAGAACTACCGAACTGACATTAATAATAAAGCTTACATCCAGAAATGGCAATCACTGTGTACATGTGGCTGCTAGGCTTCTTTTACTCAGGTTTTGCTGAGTGTTCACGAGGCTGTAACGAGATTTATTATTTTTTTATTTCCCTCTGTCTCCCTCTGTTATAGACTGCCCCACATTCAGGAATGTACAATGTGCGTTAGGCTTAGAAAAACAAACAGGTCTGAGGAGTTGGTCGGTCACTTTTTCCAAACCCAAGAACTCCTACAATAACAATGTCTTATTTACAGAAAAGTCAAAATGAGGAATTCATACCCATTAAAGCTGTAGTATCCACTTTCACTTTAATGACCCTCTTCTTTTTTTAAAATAAAGTGGGGAACAAGAGGAGGCCACGTACTTCATCGTTACCAGCATTTATTGTGTTATTGGGCAGGCCTTAATTTCCCATCAGCCTTGTGTGTCTGGGTTTCAGTGCCACTAATAAAGGTTCCTTGACATCAGTTCGGCTAATGAAATCAGTTACATCAGAGAGACTCTGTAAACCTGGCTGCAGTAATGAAAGTCTGGAGTTTTAAGGCATCTCTATAACCCTGTCTTTCTGTGACAGCAGGGCGGATGAATTGCAATTTGTGCATGATGATCAAGGGATGGACACAATACGTTCTTCTTTTAGAAACATGAAAATCCACACCTCCTATGTGTCATGAATCATTTTTTAAGAAAATCATTGAGATTCCCTCACAACATTACAATAAAGACTTATAATGTGACTGTAAATGTCTGAAATGCAGTATATTGACCACAATTTGCAGTCTGGCGTAGTACAAATGAATTCTACCTTACTGTTCATAGAATAAGATTTTATTAAATTAATTTAATGTAAATGTAAGATCAGAACATAATTATTCTAGCAATAATTCTAAAATAATGGAAAATATGAATGTGTGTTTGTCATAATTAAACTGTCCTATCTTTCTTTCTTGTTCTTACTTTCTCCTTCTGTGAATATTCAGCGGAAAGGTATAGTACTACCTTTATGCTGTTTTTAACTCTGTTCACTACAATAGCTGCAACATTGTCAGTCACGTCTTCGTTTGTTCATGTTTCAATATCAGCAAAAAAGTATTCCCAGTCTTTATTTTATGTGGAAAAAATACGTTTGGCAATTCCATTATTTTGAAATACTCTGTGATTATGCTACTGCATGCTGTGCCCTGAGTTGTCTGGAAAGGTGCTGAAATAACTGCAGCACAGTATTTTTCACAAGAAATTGAAATGCTTCTCTTTCAGTTCCGTTGCAAAAACATCTGCTCATTTCTCCATACTGAGTTTTCCCTTTTCCCCGTTATGAAAGCTGAAATGCTTCGCACAGAGACACCTCATTGTGTTCATATATTCCATGAAATTTTGGCAAAAGGAAGTCTCTTATAAATAAACTCTATAAAACTATAAAAAAACCAGCTCTCTCCATTATTTACCAGTACGTCCACACCTTCATAACGAGTGTAGATTCAGACATCTTCCAAGGGACTATTTGGCTTTGAATGGGAATAAACTTTATTAGGAAGGGCTTAAAACTGCAGTCACAGTTCCCTGTGACTTTCCATTCTGCAGAAGCTTTCTAGGCAGACACTAAAATAAATGTTACAGTGTTGGAACAATAGTAGGACAGGCCTTTCTATTTATGTTTAGTAGACACTTAATTGTTTAATTAAATACTTTATTATTCATCTTTGTATTTCATTTTTTTTATTAAGACTCTGACGCCAAGATAATGAATAGCCTTCAGTAAAACTTCACAATTACTTTTTGTAATCATAAAATATTTAAATATTCCTTAAAACTTGAAAGTGTAGTGTAGGTCCAGCAAGAATTAAAAATGAGAGGAAGTGAGCACATCAATATCCACACATTACCCCAGAGACCTCCCTTTGTCTCAGAAATACGATGTTTTTGTGTGTCAGTAATGTTCTGTCCACGTAATTAAAACAAAGCAAGGGCCAAAGAAAAATATGCATGCTGTGAAATATCTTTTAAATAAAATCTTTTTTACTCTCCATTACAAAACGGTGTATTAAACGTACAATTTGTGGAGCACAGATTTTCAGGGGGTCTTTGAAAACGGCACAGTGTTACAGGTCAGCTGTGAAAAAAACGCAGGAAAACCGAACATTTGTGCTTTAAATGACAGCGTGCACATGTTCCCCTTTAGCATCCAAACCTGTTAATCTCACCTTAACATGCACAAAGGATTTTTTTTGGCCCGTATTGCTTGCTTATTATAAATGATCTATTGGTTTAGCGCACATATTAATTACTTGCAGCTTGACTGAAGGTGTAGGAGCAGTAGGCTGCTCTGGGCTTTTGGAATCATTCCAGGAGCACTGCTGTCACTACCATTAGGTAGAGGCTCAGTGAGTGCCAGGGAAGTTATACACCAGAGATGACAGACCTATCAATCTTTTAGCAGTTTAGATATGCATTTGTGTTTTGTGTGTGGATATGTAGAGATTAGTTGTAAAATGAGCTTTTTCATTCGTAAAGCAGTCTCTTCCCATTTGTGTGACCTTGTAACTTGAAGGGCTGTGGCTCTTCCCTCTTTTACACCTCTCCCCCTGCCTTTTCTTCCCCACACATGTGCAGAAGCCATACGCTTGTCAGATTCCCGGCTGCACCAAACGCTACACGGACCCCAGTTCTCTCCGCAAGCACGTCAAAGCCCATTCTGCCAAAGAGCAGCAGGTGCGTAAGAAGGTAAGAGACTCGTCAGAGATGTCTCACCCACCGGTCAAATACCAACTAAGAGCTGGGGGTGTCCCAGACCTGGTCCTGGTGGGTCAGAGTGTCATTCATTCCAGCTTCACGTTTGACAATGTAACCCATCTGGTAACTGACTTAACCTGCTGCTTTAAAGGGACCTGGAAAACCTGCAGACACTTGTGCTCTAAACCTTGCGTAGGTTCAAGTCACATGTCAGAGAAGGCCGAAGGCTATGTCATTGCCTTCTTTTCTCTTCAGTTCCAATTTTGATCTAGTTCTGGCATGATGTGACTGGGTAAGCAGGAGGGAAGAGTGTTCAACCTGTTTCGCCATGAAATTGTCACGCTGAAGCTCACCAACCAACAAAGGAACAGGCCAATGGCTTCATTTTGTGGCCCGTGAGCTCTGGAGGAAGTAACCAGGTTGCTGAGCCACAGAGGGGCCTGCGCTCTGCATCTGTTCCTCATAATCACTTTGCAAAGCAAGCTGCTGAGGCAAGCCAGCAGAGAAGGGATCCTCTTTCTTTCGACGCACATGACGTTTGGGTCCTCAAAACTTAATCCACGATTAGACAGGCTTTCTTTCCTCTGAGCGAGTCATGTTTAAGAAGCGAGCTCGGCCCATGCTGCGGAAGACTGGCACATCCCATGCCCTCGGTCTTGAACGAGCAGCAAACACAGAGGCCTTGATTGTTTTTCCTGCAGAAAAAAAAAATGTTTCTGGCTTGCAGTAGGATTTTAGAAAGATGACAGCGTTTAATAATTACATATTAACGGTGCTCTGTGTTCGTTTAAGAGGTTAGACTCGTGTCTGAGAATTGTTTTTTATTTTCCATTTAGTCTTGCAGTTTTATATTTCACGCCCCCAAAGGAAGGGACAGTTTGCTCATAAGTACTGTCTGTCTGGCTCCAGGTCGGACAGCACTCAGACACGAGAGAAAGTAAAGCTTCTGAGATTTTTTTTTTCCCCTCATGGTTTTGTGAGTTTCTTGCATTTTTAAAAGCGGAGAATAATTGAACCAGCTAGAAATCTTGCGCGTATTGTTAGGCGTATTTTTTATTCGGCCAAATTCCATTGTTTCAAAAAAGTGTGAAAAGAAAAGCAGGGTACTTAAAAAATAACAGTGTTGCAAAAAACATTATACACTATCAGCCTGTTGCATCACAATCAGAAACACTTGGACGTTTGTTCTGCCATGAATATACTGTCTTTCACAGTTATACTGGGTGTGGATGTGGAATATGTGTGAAATTAATTAACTTCTTCAATGAAATTGAGTTCTCTGGATGACACCACATCAATAATGAATTAATTAAATACATAGGTAATTATTATTACATTATAATAGGAAGTGGTGTACTCTTTTCAATTTTACAAGTCCCTTGAACATTCACAGAGAAGCATACCTACATTGTTAGGTACTTAAAATATCGGATTTTTTCTCATATTTATAGTTGTGCATTTTCCTCTGCTTCTGTGGTTTGTCTAGAAAAACAAGTCATGCAAAGATTATAGGTACCTGCACATTTTCCTTATTTTTAATTTGGCAGAATAGCACATTACCTTTACCTAAAAACACTGTACTACAATGCATGTTATAGATGTACAAACATCTGTGAATTTATTAAGAGCAAAGACAAAACAAATTGAAATAGCCCTGGAACTGAGGCATCTCTTATTTCATACTGTCCATTCCATGCTGGTGTATCATTAGTTACGGGGTGATTTGTTGGTGTTGACTTTAAACAGGCCCCTCGTTAATTGGAAGACAGGTCCGTTTTCGTACAAATGGCCTTAAAGATCACATATTTCAACAAGGCAGTAAACTCATGGCAGACGGATATGCAGTCATTCTGATTCCTAATATTGAAATGTTTTAATTACAAATGGAATGGGACCATGGAACAGTCAGCCTAGCTAAAGAAAATCTCAGAAATCTACAGTGACAAATGTTTGGCTGGAGCAGCTGTTTTCTAAACTGTAGATTGAGGAAGGTTGGTTTTGTTAATCCCTGTTTCCTCATGTTTTTAATAAGATGGGTGCCTGTGGTTCAAAGTCAGGCTTCTCTGAAACTCATTTCCTCTGAAGGATAAAGGCTCAATGTCGCAATGAATTGTTACATTTGTTATTAAAGACTTTTGTTTGGTTGTGATCCAGTTTACACAAATGCCCTCCCCCTCACACACAAGAACACACCCCATCGCACATTTATTGGTAAAAAAACATCATTGTCCAGGAAAGATGACCAAAGCCAAATAACATAACCCTAATCCAGAAACGGGAGTCAAATGCCTGCTTTACAAAAGGTTCTGTAATTGAAAATAATATTAAAATGAAGACGTGATCTGAGCCAAAATTCTGACTGCAAATCAAGACCTCCTAGAGAAACTGTAGGCTAGTGGATAGTACTGATATTGTGGTTTGCAGTCTTTATATCATGACCTCTCTGCTGCTCCTCTTTAAAGTGTGGCCTGTAAAACAGTACACTCTACAGCACTAGGTTCTCCAAAGAATAAGGGAGGTGTGATAAGCACAGATTCTCTTTTTCTATTGTTTCTTAGTCCAGTTTTATAATAGAATAGTAGAAATAGTCCAGGTGCCTAAGAAACAAAAGTAAATACACATGGTATGTTTCCACAGACCTGCAAGAATTACATAATCATCTGTTAACCGTATTTTCTAAAGTTTGCAACTTGTAACGGGCTCAAAGGAAAAAGGGGAAAAAAAAACGTCAGCTCTTGGGGATAATATCTCTTTATTCAAAAGCTTTTCCAAAAAGACTGAGAGTAAAACAAGTACCCCTCATTCAAATTCTATTTTTTTTGGGTGGGGGTGGGGTATCAAGAACAACTAGAAAAGACATTTACCATCTGTTGGAAGATGTGATTTAAACGGTTCTAGATAATCGAAACATGCACATAATGAAAATTAATTTAAAAAAAAATGTTTGCTGGAAAGTATTAACATTACATCTGAGTTGCTTTAGAGCCTCTAGGTTACTGTTTCTGATTTGTTTTAAAAGAGCTTATTTATTCATGATGTGTGGAATTCTTTTGTTAGCAGCCTAGTTTCTGTTTAATAATCTGCCGTCTCTGTTGATCTCTCCTTTCTCTGTGATGGGCAGTTGCGATCCTGTACCCACCTGGACCAGGAGGTTTTCAGTGAATGTTTGGCAGTTCAACACCTCCACAATGCAACCTCCTCCCAGCACCTTCTCAATGGGAAATGCTCCAGGCCCTCAAGCCTCAGCCAGGACATGTTCACAGGTCTGGGTAGAGCACCTTCCTTCCCTCTATTTTCTGATACAGGGTCTCAGGGGGGCTGGAGGCACAAGGTGGGATATACCCTGGACAGAATGCCAGCCCATTACAGGGCACACAGACACAAACATACACACACTCACACCAGGGTCATTTATCCTACCAGTATGTCTTTGGGCTGTGGGAGGAAACTGGAGCAGCCAGAATAATCTCACATAAAACATTGGGAGAACATGCAAACTCCACACACATTGCACCGGAGGTCCGGCATTAAACCCAGAGGCCCAGTTCTGTGCCCTTCCCAGGCTAGAGTACAACACTGAGCAATTCTCGTTGCTTGTTTGACAGGACGTATCAGATTTTTTTTTTTAATTTGTGTTTTTGTTAGTGGTCATCCTACAAGTTTTTTTTTTTATTATCGTCAGTTTCATCACAGCTCCGATTCTCCTGTTTACAAGCGATGGCGTTTGGCACCGTCGGATGCTTAAATATTGATGAACAGTATCCTACAAACTCATGCTGGCTGGAGAAGAACAATGAAGGATTAAGACATCTGCTCCATTTTGTTTAATTGCACTCATGCTGTAGCTCAATTATTTGTCCCAGAGCACTCACATGAGAAAAGTAGCAATTTCACTGACCAAGTTTTAAAAATGATGCCCTTTGCAGACACTCTGTAATTATATGGAGAACTGTAGGCTGTAAAAAGCTCAATGAAGTCACTCTTATTCATTACTTTTTGCTTCTCGTTATAAAGCCGTTTTGATATTCTGAGCAAAGAGGGGGGGAAGAATCGAACGTTACTTTTCTCTTTTCCTTATTCAAAGAAGCCTCAACGTCATTGTGCAAAAAAAAAAAAGATTGCTCGGGGGAGAACTTGTGTTACTCTGCCTGTTATTTACATGATTCCAAAGTTTTCAGTGCAGTGCAAATCGAAGATGTCAGGGATATAAGCCAAAGCAGCCGGAATAGAAAGAAGTAAAAAAAGCACTTTATTTCTAAAGATCCCATCCTCCTGTGTGTTCCTTCAAAGCTGCTTTGTGTTACAGCCAGTGGAAGGGAGACGAGATGTCATGGAGAGTAAAAGCAGCGCTGGACATAACCCTGTCCCTTGCTCTTTTCTCTCCACTAAGCAAAGCTCAGTATTGCACAATGACAAGCCTCAATTATTCCAAACAGTTTGGTGGAGGAGTGTGCCCACATGCAGGGCATCCTCTCTGGGTAGTGTGGCTTCAGTTTGGTGCCTCTCTGTCTCTCAAAGTTTTTTCTCTGCCCCCTCCACCCCCCACCCCCATCTTTTTGAAGCCTCTCGCGTTCTTGCGTTGTTTTTGAAAACGAACCTATAAAATTGCAGCAATCACGGCTATTGTTCATTAAATGTTGCTGTTTTAGGAACAGATGTTGAGGCTAAAGGGGAAACCATTTAGGGGTTATGATTGATGATTTCTGGATAATGAATCGAAGTCTCGGCCATTTCAAAAAGCTGTCAGATGGCTCAGCTCCACTGGCAAGCAGCTGGATGCATAAGAAAAAACAGGAGCACCTTCCCGGCTAACTGGTTTGGACATTCAGTGCACAGGTTTCCCAGAGGAATCTGGAAAAGAAATTAGAGCCTGAATTTAGAAGGGCAGTTTTATTAAGGGTTATATAACTATTCTAGGCTTTAGTCTCTGTGTTAGGCAATGTGAGACAATAAACCAAGCTCTGAAAGACAATAGATCTTTTCAAAATAATGGCAGTATCCAGTGAACAGCTACACTACATTACAAAAGCAATGACTAAACCCTATTACCCAGACATAGGTTTAAATGGCTGTTACTGCCACATCCCACAGATCTAAGTTTGGCAATCTCTTGTATTGCACTCTTGAAAGTCATACTTTAATTTTATTGCATGTCCAGTTTCGTCTCTCCTCAGACTGACTTTATTGGGACTTTTTCCCCATCTAGAGTTTGTTGGGGCTAGTTCAGAGCATCAGTTTTCTTCTGCATTCCTGCCTGCCCCCCCACTTGCCTGACTGAATAGGATGACACAATACCCACAAATCTGATTCTTGACATGGCGAGATGACGGACGCCTTATGGACAGAATTTCAGTCCAAATTTGCAGTTTGCGATTTCAGTTAGTCTGCTTTCGCTCTGCTAAAATGCTCACACAAAATACTGTTTTGCCCTTGAGAGCTTTGCACAATCACTTTAGGGTGCAAGCAATTTTAGATTGAAAAGCATTGTTGCTGATCAGTGCTGTAGGTAAAACTGCACTGTAGTTATTATGAATCACTAGCCTCCCTGGAGTTTCCAAATGTAAAATGCATAAAAAAAGACCCAAACAGTGTGACCTCCAACCTAACTCTTTAGATCATATATGGCTTTAAGACCATGCCAACCAGGATGAAGAATTTCCTCTTTTAATCCCTCTGTTTTTGATGGAAATTGATTAAATCATGCAAAAGGGTCTCCATTTTTACATACTGTTTGAGTTTCTTCTTAGGTTTCCTGGCTGCTAGAAATTGAGACATTAACATTTCAATATAAAATCTGTGAAAAGTGAATGGTTAAAAGAAAACAACAACAAACTCTGAGTTTAATGCAGATCATGAAATTAATCTAAACATTGTGCTACATAAACAGCGCACTGTAAATTGCATGCAGCACAAACATGCAACATTTGTTTTGAGAATCCTGATTAGATCAGCACAAGGATTTGTTGTCATAACAAAAGTATGTTGCTATGATAATTACATAATTTGGTAAACAGAAAATGTAACTGAGGAGCCTAGAAGTCCTCTTGGTTAATTTAGCCAGTTTGCAAATTAACTTTGTTTGCCTTTCAGGCATCTACACTGGCTCCAGTGCCTCCCATAATGGATCCACATCTGGGTTTCTTCCACCCACTCATGACATGTCCTCTCGGCAGCAGGCTCTTGAGGGAAATATTGGCAGCCCACACAATCATCTGTCACCTCTGTCTGCTGTGGAGAACACCAGAGAAGGGTGTGTATTGAGCTGCTGTAAGTCTTGAATGTAGAGAATCACATACAGTTGGGCCCTTGGTTCAGGTGAGGGAGCCCCATCTCCATCTCCTCCTCAAGCCCCCCCATAGCACCTGTAGTGTCGCTATTAGTCCTCCTCCATGTCCCCATCATCCCGGGTGCAATGCGGGACATGAGCAGGTGAGTGACGTCACCCCCGGTGTTTCGGGACAGCAGAGCTGGGTGGAGCCGTGTCCACTCTGAGCCTGCGAGCGGAGGTGGAGCTGCACGCCTCGAAAACGCTTCTGAACCCTCTCGAAGGTGCTTATCTCACTGCTCCCCCTGTTCCTTGCTCCACCTCATCTATGCTGTTCCAAAATATTCCTCCCCTCTTCGCGGTGGCCATGTCCCCAGCCAGGTGGGTTCTGTTCATGAACTGTTCCGATTGCCCTGGATGCAGGGCGGGGTGAAACGCGTCGGTTTCGGAGGAAATCAAGTGAGCAGGTTGAATCCTCTTTTTCCCTGTAGTCCACAGCTTGTCAAGGAGCTCCAAGATGCAATCTGTGTTCTCAATCCCATAAAATAGGAAAATACGTGAAAACCTAAGTAGGACCAAATTTATTCTTGCTTGATCTTCAGAGGTGTTCGAAATAGTTATATTGTGATCGGAATAATATTATAATCTAATATATAATGTCATGGTGCAGTAGTTCGCCTTTTTTCTGAACAAATTCCCTAACAAATTAATAGTGTCAATCAGTTTGTGTGACATAACTTAGTCTACTCTGTCTTGGATTCATGTGAACCTCTCTGTTGAAAGAAACCCCATCTGTAACAGATTCAAGCACATATTTGTGCTGTTCCCATCGGTTGCTGTACCTCAATTATACTGAGAAAATGAAACGAACGTCACCAGCATTTAGCTGTGCCTCTCTTTTAAGGCATGTTGTCTATTAAAGCCCTAGTGATTGCCCTGAAGAGTCAGCAAAGCACAGTTTCAAAGTAACATGGCAATGTACAGTACTGTATATACTTACAAAAATGCCTGAAAACCAGAATAAAAACACAGAAGATCCCTCTTTTAAATTCTCATGGCAACGGGCTAATATAGCAGAACCAAAACATTATCGACAGAGAATATCTTGGTACAGTCCATTTATGGTCGCACCAAAAAAATGTCTTTTATCTCTAGAAATAAAAAGAAATCAACTAGGCAATTGAAGACCACAAAAATACATTTGATTAAACTGAACACTCAACTATTCAGTTTCCCAATGTAAATAGAGCAGTGCTGAGACATATTAAACATTGCAGATGGACAAATGTGAGCTGGAACTTGTTGTCGTGCAGTTCCAGACTTCTCGGGAATTTATTTTTCCATGAGCCTTGAGTATTTCGTTCCCCCCCCTCCCCAAAAGATTTTAGGCAGGTATATAACTCCTCCTAGCTGTCGAAGAGATGATCTTGGGAAAAATGAGCAGAAAACAACAAGCAGAGAAAGAGAGCAGATGGCATTGTTTGCCAACATTTCTTCACAAAATGCACTGCTTCAAGAAGGAAGGCGAAATGAAATTATCGGTAGCGCTGCACGGTATTATTTTTGGAGGGATTATTGGGAGTAATCTAGAACACCACACCTTGGGGAAGAGCATAACCGTTCAATCACGAGCCTTTCCCATGAGCGCAGGGATTAAAAACAAAATGGCTTAATCAAAGGAGAAGCATCTGATCCCATTGGACACAATTCTCCCTGCTGTTCCTCAGCTTGTGCTTTTCAGCACTAGATTTGTTTCAGGGCTTTAAAGGAATTTCCAGTTCGAGTCTATGGGGGAAACAAACATGAGATACCAACACTAGTTTGAGTGAACGGCAACAATTTCAATTGTGAATTATATTGAAATGATTATGCTTTTTTTTTTTTAAAAAAAAAAGAAGTCTGCTTCATTGGGTAATCAGAAAATGTACTCTGCCAGGACCTACAACAAGCTGGGTACAAAACGTCTACTTACATTTGCCTAAAGATCCAGCATTTGATTTAAATGTTTAAAGTTTGTGGTATAGCATTCACTGCCAAAGTCAATATCAGCGCAGCACTTGTTTTTCCCAAAAGGTTTAGCAAGACATTTAAACATTTTGACAAAATTATCTAACTAACTTGAATATTCACCAACAGGATCTGACCTCATTACTAAATGTGTTTACCCTGGCTGAAATGAGGCATTTATAGTAATTTTACTTATTAAATACTAGTGTAATTTCTGAAGCTCATATTAAAATATGCCAGTTAAAATATATTTGCAGTGTGCGGAGTATGCATAATCCTTGGTTGCAGAAAGCAGGATGGTTATGCATCATAATTAGACATGAAACAAGTTGTCAAAGCCCGAAATGGATGTGAAACCATGAATCTCTTACAGACATCAGCATTTTAACAAGGAAACACTTCTTGCTTTTCCAGCACTGAGTTGTTTCACCTTTTATTTCCTTCTTTACTGGTCACAGTTTGGCTGGTCAGACGTTTGCGTCCCCTCCACATTCCTGTGCCACAAGATATGGCTGCCAGTGAGGAAGCGATGAGGCGCACTGTATGGTCATGCTGAAATGCTCCTCCTAAAGATTTCACAGTAGTTAATCCTTGTACTTCTGGCCCCTGCCAGATTTGAAATAAGAATCTAAAAAGTGAAATGCTCACTGATCCTTACTGTTTCACTTGAAAAACTGTGACAGCTCTGTGTAGCCCATGCTTTTGAACTGGGATTTGGGCACTAGCAATTTTGCAAGAGGCGAGGCCAGCATTATAAAACGAACCATCACAGGCAGACCTATGACATTTGCCTCTAGACCGCATCAAATAGTCTGATGAAAACGTAGATATATATTTGACTTCTGTGCGCTCCTTTTTCTGCTGGGCTCGGAAAGAGCCCGCTCTCAACATTTCTGAAGATTTAAGGTTGGGGAATGACCTTGTGTTTTCGGAGCTGAGCTATTATTTTCATAACAGAAGGGATGACAGGGGAAGAATCGTTGGTTCGTTCTAGACTAGCTGGATCAGAGACGAGCATGCAGCTGCCGTGCCATTGGAACAGGCCAGGTTTGTACTCTTGACAAACAAAAGCTTAGTGGTTTGTCTCGAGAACGTGTTCAGCCTTTCTTGCCTCCAGAAAGAAACGTGAAACCGTCATGTTATCAACCACAACTAAGCCTATCATAACCCTGGTACCACTGAGGTCTGTGACATGGTTTCAAGCTCTAGAGCAAGACTGACTGTGGATTTTCATTGCAGCTCAGCTCTTTATCACTTAACCACAATTAGCTAATTGCTGGCCTAATTTGAGGCAATTTAACAGCTTCTTTCAGCTCTTTAGGTGTTTTTGCTTTAAAGTGATCTTGCAGATACCTTGGTCTGCCTGGATCAGGATTGGTCAGCACAGGTCTAGAAACGATGAAGCTTAAACCAGGCTGCGTTGAGCAGAACATGGATTATACACTTCAGAAGCAGGCAGGACACCGCCTATTATCTTTGCCTATATCTGTGGACAGGACCTTTGAAGATGCAAAAATCAGATCATTTTCAGGCAACTTTAGTTTGATGTTGTATTTAGAAAAAAAGGTCAAATAAGAACAGCAAAAGAAAGCTTATAGACAAGAGGACACCAATTTGGACCATCTAGCCCATTAATGTGCACTTACAGTACATGCACTTTAACCACTTCTATTCAGTCTTTTTCTGTTGATCTTTGTCTTGCTTAAACAACATTCTGATTGCTTAGGACCTCTGAGATGCAGGAGGCCACTTTTAGGTCCTGTCATTGATTAAGAGATGGTGACAATGAGGAATTTAGAAACCAAACAGACATCCCAAAAACATAGGTGAAGATTCAGTCATGGATGAACTACAACAATCACAGAAATGACTCTTGGGAACACTGCTAGAATTACATTAAAATCAATGTACAACATATTTCTACCAGTAATCTAGTCTGTCACTGCTGTTAATGTGGCATAGTCTGCAGGATTCTGCAGATCTTAACATGAAAACACGCAACAGCTGTAGGAGATTCTTTACAATAGGCTAGAAAAACCCTGAGAACTGTTTCTTGTAGGTCAGATTTCATTTGTGAAATCTGTACTTTTCTGGAGTTTGGTGCTAATCTCACATTGGTAGTATTTAAAACAATGGATCAGTCAACAGTTTTCTGCAAAATGACATAATTAACACATTTCGCTAAAGAACACATTCAGATCACTCTCCTGCTGCATGCTGAACCAGAGAAATAGTTCTGCATGTTGCAGATTTCTCTGAACCCTGTCCTTTGATTTGTAAACTCATAAAAATTTCCTCAGTGCTGTCCGGTTGTAAATTCTGCTGGTTTGAAACTGCACAGGGCAGATGTTATGTAAATAGAGTGCAGACTGGACTTGTCGCTCATGATATCTGACCCTTTCCTTTGCAAACAAGGATGTAAATCAGTCTGTCAGTTGCACCACACAGGTTCAGAAGGAAATCTCATCATATCACTGCTTGCCACTCAGAGGGAAGAGAGAGGGAAGCTGAACAGAAATGGATCTGAGGCCCGGAGTACAAATTGGCTTAGTTTTTGGCTGACAAGAGAGAAAAAGAGCTATGCCACAGGACTTTCTAGTTTATAACAAGTGACATGATTTTGCTAGAGGCTGTGCAATTAGAATTGTAATATGTATCTTTACATCAGTATCTTGCTCCATGCTGACAGGCACTGATGTAGTTAAGCCTGTTATTTTCCCATAAATACCTCCACAAGCATTATGGAAGTATTCACGATATGCACAGTGCTTTGCAAAAATACTCCTTATTAATCTGAAATGCACTTTAAGGCACAATGTATTAATTGGCTATTCATTTGACTCCCTCCTCTTCCCAATGAATTAAACATGAACTGCCATTTACTGTAATCTGTTACCAAGTTTCCTTCATTTTGAGCTTTAACAACAACAGCGCTCACATATTCACTGTTCAAGACCAATGTAAGAACTGCAAGTAAGAGTCAAGAGACTTAAAGGTTGCAAGTTGGAAGACTGTACTTAACTTGTGCCATTAGATTCTTGTGTTATTGTGCTCTTGTATTATTGAAAATGTAATTCTAACTTTAAAGTTGGAGGGATTTCTTGTTGAATCATTCAGTAGGTGAAAACATCATTCAGGTGTAATTTGAAAATCGATTCCACCAGACCTATAGGAGTGAAAGTCTACTGAGTTCAGTCACTGCCAGTTGAATGTTTTCTAGCTAAGCCTGCAGGTTTCTAATGCTTTTGGTTAGCAGAGTGAGGCAAGTCTTTCATGAAGAGCTTTACATTACTAACCAGAACCAGATACAGAATATCACAAGTTGAAAAATATTCCCACCAACTTCAGCCAAGACACCAGGGCAATCTGTCAGATAGTTTTAAATCCAGGCACGCAGTAGGATGTCGATGTTTCCCATGAAGAATAAAATATACAGGTGCTGAAAGAGGAGAGGGGAATAAATTTGTTATCTAGGCAAGCTTTCGCGATGTAAACTTGTGGCTTCTTCATTTCTGAGGCAGTTTTAGCGTAGGAAAGTGGCCAGCACAATTCAGAGAGGCGTATTCAAAATTGTGGAATAAGGTCGATGGTGTTTCATGCAGAGTATTGTGGGAGCTTGCAAAAACCATAAAACAAGAACATTTGCCTCTGTAACTTAATTACTGTACTTCAGAGACTGCGATACATGTTATTTTTTTCCAATGTGAATTATAAGCACATGCTCTTGTGTGGGTGTTTTTTTTTTTCATTTTTTGCCCCCGTTAAGAGATTCCCCTCTCTCTAAAATTACAGGACTGACTCAAATTGTTCACTTTCACAAGCAATGATCCTTCAGCTGTGATCATGTTTAAAAACAATGCATACAGTATTTCAGATGATCACGGGTGAGCTGAAGGATTTCGATCATTCCTGAGAGGAACCTTTGGATGTTTTTTGATGTTGATAACCTCCTGTTAATGGAGGCTACCAACCAAGGCGGTTGTTGTGTGTACTCCAGTATACATCAACAAAGTGCTCTGCGCAGCTTAATTCAGCACTTAAACTACTGAAGAATCAATATTATCTGGTGTAGAGGGGACCTGCTGAAGGCATTAGAAATTCCCCTCAAGGGAAGAGGTGACACTCTCCAAACAACAGTTAAATTCCTGAATTTGTATTACCTTTCTAAGGCCATGTTGAAGAGCCTTTCATATATAAACACCTCCCGATGCAGCTTTTTCTCTATTAATACCACAAAATCCATCTGAAGCCCTTTAACCTACTGCAGCCTGTTTGCAGAGGGCTTATGAGTCTCAAACCTAGCGACCTCAGAAAAGACGCTCGTTTGAAAAGACTAAAAACATGAAGATGATCAGCAAAGGTAAATACCGCTGAAAGATTTATATTGCATATGAAAGATTCTTCTCATTCCTACAGACTAGATGCAGGCACCTGGCAATGATTAGCTTATGATTCACTTTAGCTGCATATAGAGGCTAGTTGTAAAAATATGAACAGTATAACTGTTTCCTGAGTTTGTGCTGACAGCAGCTCCCCAGAGGGCTAGCTCTCCACAGAAACACATGGTAACACATTGGGCTGCTTCCAAAGACTGGATTAGCAATATTCACTTTTATTTGAAATGAAGACTACAGAGGCATACTGACACTGTGTATAAGGTCTATGCCCCATAGTAGCATTTTAAAGCAAACTTGAGGTTTTCTCGCTGTTTGGGCACAGGTTTAGAAATATGTGGTGATCGCTGCTGAATAAGTGTTGTCCTGATAGATGTTAAACTGACGATGATATGTTTTGCTACTTGCAGACAGTTTCTTGAGAAGTTTGTAGTGGTGTACTATGCCCTAGTTTAGAAAGGAGGTTTCATGCCTTAAGAATGTTTTTTTTAAATTCAGTTTAAAAAGCTGTGTAGTGTTGAGCAGTTACTAAGCTGGTAATTGTAGTTATAAGAAGCACAATGTTAACTGTTTGAAGAATGACAATGAGTAGGGCTGATTATAGGAACTTTGATGTAATGGTTGCTGAAACGTCTGTTTTGTTAAAACCATTAGAAACCATTTGCACTGTCCAGTTCACTTGGTCATTAGTCAAGCTACATTATCGGAGACTTTCCTTCAGCCAGCTCTTGAAAGAAGCCAGGTTATCACTTTCAGCAGCATGGCTGGGTAGCTGGTCCCATACTCCCACAACAACATTCGGTGGCTCATTGATTCTGAAGTCCGCTGGGTTGACTTGTCAATGTCCTCGAATGATTTGGAATATTTGTGTCAGTTCCTCTTGTAGTCTTCCCTGTTCAAGAATAAAAAGGTTCAAAGGTTCAGAAATGTTCAGCCTGTCAGTGTAGAAGATTTCCTGAGGCCCTGGAATGTCTGGTTGCTCTTCTTTGAAGTGCTCCTAGAGCAGCAATAATGTTTTAGAACATAGTGACAAAAATACGGAGACAATATTTTTAAATGTAGTCTTACTACTGCATTGTACAATTTTAACATCCTTTGATTTAAGTTATATGCTGTTAACTATGTGTGCTAATATTTAATCTTTTTCTTTTGCTTCCTCACATTGTTTAGAAGACATAAGTGATGTATCAACATAAGTGAAGAAAGTCTTTTTCATAAATAGCCTGTACAAGCTTAGTTTTCTGTATTACCTGCATGCTGCATTAAACATCATCTGCCAGGTGTTTGCCCAGTCTTGAATTTTATCTTTTTTTTTTTCAATTTCACTTGCTGGTTCATCAGTGATATCCTAATCTGATATCACCCGCAATCCTGACTAGTTTACTAACTATACCAGAATTTATATAATTGATGAAAGTTAGGATCTGAAGTGGTCCTAATACAGATTCCTAATGGCACTCCATTTAGTTATCTAAGCATTTGTAAATCAAATTTAAATCCAAAGATAGGCATTTCCCCAATGTTTTATGACCTGTTGTGCATCTTTTCTTATTTAAGATAAAGGTGACATTGACACTTTTTTATGTGGCCCCTTAGACTAACTTTAGGATTCCAACAGTCTTGAATTATGAATACAAAATATCATAATCACAGTCATAATCAGTGTGTGGGTCTCAATAATGGATTGCACACTGTTCCAAAACAATAATTCCTTTTGTTCATATAACACCATTTGGAATGAGTTTTGTTCTTTATACACCTGGTGCTTTCTCTTCATGTACTCTAAGTTACCAAAGAATTAAAAACAATGATACAAATAATTATAATATATTGGAATGTTTACTGCTTGGAATCCACTATCACAATAGTAAAAAGAATTGCACTAATGTTAGAAGATCAAAGGTTGTGGTATTTACTCAGCCATGTAAAATTCCTGCTTTTTATGACTCTTCTAATGGATTAAATAAACCATCTGGTAGATACAATAAATATTTTGTTAGAAAACCCAAAGAGGTTCCCTTTTCTTATTTTGTTTCCCTTTTCTCTAAAACACAGGAGGTTAAATATAAAATTTGGTTTCTCGATGTGGAATATCAGATGTAAGAACGGTTTCGCTAAATCAACGAATTCTCCAGATTTCTTAATAAAATAAGACCTGCAATATGTGCACTCTGTCAGCTGTTTGTATCTTACACTTAACAGCTGCAAAATATATGAGTGACAAGTGCTGTCTGTATTTACAGTCTTGTGCAGAAAGTCACTAGGATCCCACCTTAGCTGCTTGTGCCATCATAGAAAAACTAAAACATTCATTCACAGGGAAATGTAGCCCCCTGAGCCGACAATCAATGGAACTTGTTGATACCATATACACTTACAATACAAATGAATGTCATTCTTTTCAAAGAGCATGACAGCTCCTTTGAAATCAGCTGTCTGTTAGGCATCACAACGGAAATGAATGCAAGATGCATCCTCTGTGGTTTCCAAGCAATTAAAAGGAATAAGCTGCAACATTCCATAGAGAATAAAGACGGTAATGTTATCTTCCAAATCCAATGACATGAATAGAGTCACTAAGGCTTTGAAGATCACAGCATCAGGAGAGTCCCTGAATACAAGTCAACCTCTATTGTGTATCCTAGGTTTGCTATGTACACTCACCTGTGGAGCCCACCATTTCATTGAGCGGTTTGTTTTTTGTTGACACACTTGTGGATTACTGTAACTAAAATACTGTATGTGCACAGATTCTAATCCTTATTCTCACCTTCATATCAGTTCCAGAAAGATTATTATGATTATAGTGTCAAAACTGTAATCTTGTTTAAATATCTGCACATACTGTAATTATGTGGGTAGCAAATGGCAACTCTTATCAAGAATCTTTGTGTGTTCCTGGACACCACAGTGACACTGCCTCCATATAATAGTCATCACAGTGACAGGGGCTCAGAGCAGGCGGGTCAATTAGAGAATAAACCTCATCAAACCGCAGGTGACTGTACATCCCTCCTCTGCATACTGGAAGAAAAATTAGATTGTCCAAAACAATCTAGTAAGATTCTTTTTCTGGCAGTGCTGTGATGAATTCTGTTTTGCATGCAAAAATTGACATTGTTCATTTATTCAACCTCTTTGCCTCTAACAGATTCTAACAACATTGTTCAGTAAAATCGCTCAGACCCCTCTGGCGCTTTCCTTCCAAACCAGGTAGTGTTTATAAACACTGAGGCATCTGTGCACCAGTTCACCAAGGGAACCATATTTGAAGAAGGGTTGCAAACAAGAGCAGGCCATGCAGCCCATCTGGATTGATGGATAGCAGTGAATTGATCCAAAGATCTCATCCAGCTGTTTCTTGAGAGAGGACAGGGTTCCAGCTTCAACAACATGGTCATGTAGCTTGTTCCACAAGCCTTTATGTAAAGAAATGACTTTTGTTCTCAGCTGTGAATGCACTTCCATGTAGTTTCCACTTGTTTTATAAATTTTATATCTAAACTAGTCCTGTTGCAACATTTACTGTAGCTGCTGCCTGTCGTAAGAGATTTACAAGCCCTCTGAACTTCTGAAGTACTGAATCTTGGGGACGTAGGGAGATCACAAATCCAAATGTACTGTTAAGGGACTGCCAGAGCAATAGGGCTTTAATTATTCTGTTTTATAGTTAAAAAGTGGGTAAAACAAAAAAAGATTAGTATGCGGTTAAATGATTAGATTAGCAAATACATCCAAATAGAGGAACTACACTTTAACAATTTCAGCCCTGTTGAAACCTCACAGATCCTGTATACAGTATTATATCATGTTATGTTGTATTATGCTGGTGGCATTCAGCAATGATATTTAATTTATTGAAATTTGAAATTGAAATTTAGTAATGACATTGGTCTGCAATGCAGTACTTTTCAGTAATAATTCATCAGTGATGTTAGTCACCAATTGTATTTAGGTGGAATTCATTAATGATCTATAACGCACTATAGACATAAACAGTGGTCATATTTGTCTACCTTTTATTTCAGCTGCAGTGAAGTATTGCACTGATGTATAATATGCTGTTTCGTAGATTTTACTTAGATGTGGTTCTGTGTCGTTCTGTAGCTTGAATCCAGTACTATAGTCTACAGCATCTTATTACCATAGATTAACAATCTGTTGTAGTGTTAGTAAGGAATACTGTAATGTAGGAATTTGATATAAGAAGCTACATAACATCTAATTTATAAAAAAAAAACTAAAAATAATTGCACTGCTGGTAGTAATGAGATATTAAGATCTGGGTGAATTTATTAATTGAATTTTGATTGGGTTTGGTTTATCTAAGCTTTTTCTTGCTGTATGCCTTCTTTCACACAGAACCACAAAGGTCTTTAGACCACAGATTGGGAACTGAAGTTGTGTAGTAGTATTGGGCTGTAATATATTGCAGTTTTGATTCAGTTCATGATTGTTTCAGTATATGAACTGTATAATTTTGGTATTGATACATCAGTCTACACCGTGTCATTTTGTAGCTGAAACTTGAGAGAGAGATTGGTCTATCCTGCAGTGCTCTGTAGTTGTAACTCAATAATGCTTTTGGATAATATCACACTGTGCAGTACTTGGGAGTCAACAATGATAGTACAATGTAATGTAATACGCTCGTGTTGCTTTTCAGTGCGCTACTGAGTAGTGGCCTGTGGAGCAGGTCAAATGCTACCTTAAAGGGATCTGTGGATATCTGTTATGCATTTTAGTTAAACATCTTTCAAAACAAGGACACCCACACTCTTCCCTGTCATCAGTGGTATTTCCTCCAAGAGTTCATCCAAAGAACCCACAACCTATGGTACAAGAAATTTGAAATGCCCCAGTATGAGGACCAGGGATCTTGTGCTGAAGGAGGTGGCATCTTTCAAGTGAGTTGTTTCAGATCCCGACTATTTGATCACACTTTTCAATAGGAGTACTAGCCTTGGGGGTCTTGGCTAAATTCCTCCCTAAATGTTGCCCCTTAATTCAATTAGCGAAGCAGTTTCACTCTCCTCCACCTGATCTGCTGTGTGTCACTCAGGTGGGGGGCCTCCTTTCAATCTTATTGATCCGATTGATCTCTTCTAGTGTTTTTTTTTTATTTTAATTTACTTTGCGGTTTCTTCAACAAAGTCAGGGTACTGGCTTCCACAACATGGCTGGGTAGCTTGTGTCCTCTGGTTCATGAATCGGTGTATTCTTTACCCTATTGATGATGTGCTGTTGCAATAATAATCCAGCTCGGTACGAGAGGAACCACAGGTCTGTGCTTGGCTGAGGAGTCAGTGGTGCAGAGCTGTGGGATCATGACTGAACACCTCCTGGTCAGAATCTCCTCTGAAAGGGGGATGGCTGCTGCACTGACTTTGTCAACAATTTTGAATACTTTCAGCCTGTCAGGGTTGAATTACTTTAAGTCCTGGAGTAGAACTGGTTGCTCTTCATTGAGCCGAATCCAGAGCAGCAACATTTCTATAAAGTGGGAACTAATAGGTTGTACACTGTTCTTAACAAGACCTTACTAATGTGTCGTACAATTTTAATGCAACATCCCATGATTTGAATTCTGCACTTTTGACCAGATATTCTACCAATTTGTTTGCCTTCTTTATCGCTTCCCCATACTGTTTTGAAGATGTCAACATCAAGAACCAAGTCTTTTTCACACGTAGCCTCTTCGAGCTCAGTATCTCCCATTTTGAATTGATAGTTTTTTACTACCAGCATGCAAAATAATGCACTTGCCTCTGTAAAAGGGTACAATATGTTCTGTTATTTAATTCAGTGAATGTAATGGAGTTGTATTATGTATTGAACTGCAATCAGAATTTAGCAGTGATATCGGTCTGTAATGCACTCTTCCGTAGACAAGTATTGCCAAGAGTGATTTGCATAGAACATCGATGGCGTGGAACTATGAAAACCCAAAGATCCGTTGGGGGGAAAAGTATTCGTCTCAAAGTGACATTCTGGTGGATCTTGCCGAGTTTTCCGTAGGGGTTCATGTGACTTTCCCCTTTTCTTCTCCTGGCAGGCTCGCCGCCACTCCTCTCCTCTCTCCAGGCCTGAGCCCGATGAAGAGCGTAGCGCCACCCCCCACTCCGCTGGAGAAGCACAGCTCTTCGTCCTCACAGGCCCAGCTGCCCCATGATCAGCAGCTCCCTGTTCAACACAAACCCTACACCCACTTCCATGACCCAGCGGCCCATGAAGGTACAACAGGGAATGTCTATTTTGACAATGGGGAGTACTCCTTGGGGCCATTATGATCCCACCCTCCCTTTTCCACCCGCTTTATCCAGCACAATAGACTCTGGCTGGGAGAGACACAGACACCCTCACAGCTAGGGACAGTTTTTCTAGGAGCAGGGTTTCCCCCACCATGGCTTTGGGCTGTGGGAGGAAACTGCAGCATCTAGCAGAAACCCACACGAACATGGGGAGAACACGCCAACATGCTGAAAGCACCCCACAAACTGAACCCAGGGCCCCAGCGCTGCTAGGTAGTAATGCTGACCCCTGTGCCACCAGGCTGCCATTCATTATGATCTCATGCCCTTAAAACACGTGTGAATAGGACTTTCTTTCCCTGTCACACAGGTCTTGAGCTGGATTATTCTCCCATACACTCCAACAGTACTGTTTTCTGATGTGCTGGTACTTCATTCCCTTACCAGCCTAAAGGAAAGCAGTTTGTGATAGAGTAGCAATGCACTGGCCCCTTCTACGGCCTTTATTTTTTCCACAAAGGCAAAACAATGTGATTCTTGTTAAATTACCATCAAATATGCGAATTAAAACATGAGGTGCAGCACTAGATGCGAGAGAGGTCCAATCAGTTCTGATCGTGAATTATATTTAGAGGACGAGAGAGTTACCTTGGAAACAGAATCAATTTTACCACCAGTTTTTGGGCTTTATTGGTCTTGACAATCTTCTGGGGGAAGGAAGATCTTTTTGCCAGTTTTGCATTGTAAAAAAGGATATATAGACTTGTGAGGAACAATTTACTTGAACTGCAGCAAAGTCACTTCATTTATTACAAAGAACTGGGACAAAGCCAGGGCTGGTTTCAAAATCAGAGTCTCACACGATAGTATGTGCAGCTCAGTGCAAATACTGTACAGCAAAATCCCCAGTCCTCTGCTAAATGGACACAAGGAGAAACAGCTCTGCTCTGGAACGATTGAGTCGCTGCATACAAGGTTATAAATCCTCTCAATATATGAAAAGAAACAATGAAGAAATTTGCGGTATTGTCTGGGACAGCCTTTGCAAATAAGTTTTTAATCAAGCCCAGTAATCTATTTTATTTACAGCTGTGTGCAAAATATAAATCATTGCACACACAGAAGAAGCTCATACTGTGGGAGAAATCTTCTGTTTCTCTTTTATCCAAACAGCTCAGATCTAGCCAGTCATTTCATATGCAAACATTTACATTTTAAGAACACAAAAACACGGACGTGCACTTAAACCTAACAATAACAGGTTGAAGTAATTACTTTGATTACATCCATCTGCGTTCATAATGGGAATTACTAAAAAAAAACTCAATCATAAATCGTTAATAAAATAATAGCAATAACATACTTTAGAGACTTCTTTTCACATGCTATTGAGAGCTTTATGACTGAGTCTGTAATAGTGGTTAGCTGAGATAATTGTCAACGAAACATTACTGGATAAACCACAAGAGGAAGGTTCTTTACAGTTATTATCCTTTTGGACACAAATGTTCATAGAAAGCTGTCCCTGAAAGTGGTACAAAAGAGACTTTGTCACAGGAAACCCCAGTCCCTGATGAGTTAAGCTCCACTTCCCTTTTTCCCCCAGAAATATGCTTGTTTTTATTAATGTGGTCTCCCCATAACAAAAGGATCGTTTAAACTTAAAATCTTAATAACTATAATCAAATCTGTTTGCTCTGGATATTTTTTCATCTCCCCTGAATGCAGCAAGCCAGGTATAATGCTGAAGTAGACTTGTCCATTATTTACCATAGGATACGCGATAGAAAGGTTTACACTGAGCTCGTTCAGTCTAAGAATTTATTGTCACAGTTCCATACCAGGGCTGATGAATGTGCTCTTTCTTTTATGAGGATGACCATTTAATCCTTCCCTTTCTGGCCTTCGTCAATAAATAGCTGCAGACAGCCCACTTTCTACCAACGAGCTCAGTTTTTTTTTAAATACATGTCCTCCAAAGGATTTAGGACATTTCTTACGAATAAATGACAATTCCACCATGGCGTGATCAACACATTAAGCAAATTAATGACAGAAAGGCATTTCCACAATAAAGAACTCAGCGTAGCTCACTATAAAGTATTTCTACATATGTTTCCCTGCTTACAAGGTTTGCCAGAAAACTGGAAAAAAAAACACTAAATGCAGTGCTACATCTCAAGAATGTATTATTGAGGCTATTATGCATCAAAATGATTCCTTATATCGGATTCAGCAGGAGACAGCAGAATGCGACTAAGGATTTAGATGCCCGAAAGTCAGTACAGAAGTGTGAATTTCCAGTGTTTGCTACTGTTGCGCTGCAATGCAAGAAGTCTTAAATAACGGGTCTCAGAGAATACACAGCTTCTGAACCAGTGACAATTGTGGAAAACGGGGCTTTACTTTGTCAAAAGAGGCACTTCTGTCATGCGTACATATTTGAAGATGTTAAAGAGGCTCATGTATATTCTGTATTGCAGTTATTGCTGTTGGGGTTTCCAAATTCAGTGATGCTTTTCTCTCTCGCTGCAGGTTATCAAGGCAGCTTTCAGAGTTCCTTCCATTACGGAGACAATTACAGAATGGAACAATCTGTCAGTGACGTCCATTTACCCGGGGACGCCCAGTGCTTTAATCCTCAGCGACAGAATGGGTATCACATGACCTCCTCCCACTCGTGCTCTGCAGGTGAGCTGGTACAAAGTTACTCCTTCTTCGGCCCAGAACAAGATGTTGTTTTGGCAGTGTTTTTTTTTTGTGAGGGATGTTGTTTCTCGCTACCAACTCTTTGGGGGTATATAAACTGCTATATTTCACAAATTAAATTCTCATTCTGACATGTAACCCAAAAAGTATTTATTTATTATATGTAGAGCGAAACCCTTTTTGAAACACTGCCTTCTTATTTCTTAAACCAGGTTTAGGAAGATCCATCCACCTGTTTTAGTTTGCTTAGTAGGCTGTTACTTAAGATTGTAACTCACTCCTAAGTCCTCTGCCTTTTCTGTCCAACCCACAGTGCACATATAACGTCGCACTCTTGTCCTTAAATTTGACAAAACCCTGGTTGAGCATTCAGCACTCAACGCCATCAATGTTCCGTTAGCTTCTGCGGTCTATCAGTTGCAGGCACTGATCACTCGGAACAGAAGAGAGAAACTAAGCTGTGTCAGAGCAACCTGGGACTTCCTGACCTCACTACCAGCTGTTCAGTGTGGATTCTGTACAGCCTGACTGCTGAGCCTGTAAAAGAACCTGTGTGATCCGATACAATAACCCGCCTGTGGCCAGCCCTCCGACTGCTTTCAGGCAACAAGACAAAATATTAGCTTGCATATGGAAGACACTAATTTTAGCTGCCCGATCCAGTGATTGGAATGAAAAACAAACAGGAACCCAAGGTGGATTCCTGTATTCTACGAATGTCAAGACCATCAAGTTCAGAAACTGTTGAAGATTTACTAAGCCTGTCCTCTCATACAAAGTTGCCTATAGGAGAAAAAAAAAGCCAGGGCAGCTGAAACAAGAAAATAAACTTTAAAACAAAATAGTGCAAGGACAGCTGTTCAAACCCGAGAGGGTGGAGATGCCTCTCCATTTACAACCAGGCCTTTCTGTCAATAAGCACAACAGACAGGACCGGTTTCAAAAGCAAGTACTGTACATGTGCAGCTTGAACTGTGCCAAGTGTTTAAGTCATTTCGTTCTTTTGTCCGTTTTTTTTCCCCCTGTGCAGAGCTATAGTGTAGCAGTCGGAAAACCTTGACAGTTTCTTTTTGGCCTGGAAAAAAAAAAACTTTGAGCCGCATGGAGTTCATTTCATCAGGTTAAAAACGCGGCTACCAGCTGACTGGAGGTACCATGCAGCACATATTGTACGGCGCTCCCCATTTTTAAATGCGAAAAGGACATGAATTAAGTTCAAACAAACTGATGGAAAAGAAACTAAAATCGAGTTTAGGCTAAATAAAAACGGCACCGCGCTTTTTGCCTGATCTAATTTCAACCGAGGTCACCGGATTTGAAGTGAGGTCCGGGCGGCTTAAATGAGAAGGTCTGAAATACACCCAAAGCACTGACAACTTCATGCGACTCTGAACCGGTTCTTCCTTATGTGGTTCTGACTTCCGAATATTCTCCTTCGCAGGTTTCAGTATGATCCAGGAAATGCCGGTCGGAAATGGACATGATTTCCCCCCGAGCCCAGAGGATAGCGTCTTTTTTCAAGTAGGCGGCTTTGACCGCTGTTTGAGTCAGATTTCATCGGTGTACACGGAGACATGAGCGGTGGGATCAGGGGTGAAGACCCTGCGGTTTAAACACGTATTGTACAGACGAGCTTCCTGGTGTAATTAAATTAATGTCACACATTCTGCCAGTGTTGCTGTCCCCCTCCATGCTTCACTGCTTCGTCTCTAAATTCTCCACTGCATTTTAAATATCTCTATTTGGGGTCACTATATCCTGAAATTCAGAAGGTGCTTTTTTTTTTTTTGTTGCCGTGATGTTTTCTTAACGCATTTTTTTTTAAAAACCAAATGTTGTGCTGTTTCGTTCTCCGTTGCGGGTACTGTGCATTTTGGCACAATGGTTGGTGCACAGCCCAAGTATAATCGAAAGCCCTTTTAAAACATTGTGGGGAAACTAAAGTCAGGTGGCCCGTTTGAATAACATGTGGTCCTATTAAACAATCTTGCAAATACTCAAAGATCAGTCCTGGCGTGTATAAAATGTACAGTTTGTTTAAAGCAGTTATTCTAAATTGTTCATATATTTTCAAGTTTTTAAGAAATAAATGATCATGCAACAACAGAATCAATGTTTTTTTTTTCTTTGACTCACTGAAGATTTGAGAAGGATTTACTTTGATGAAAAATATTAGCTTAGGGATGGGCCCACACAGCTGCTGAGGAACCAGTTAACGTAGCTTTGGTTGTAGTTAAAAACGCACACTCTTCGCTGTGGAAAATTACGGAGCACATAACACTCAAAATACGTCACCTGAATACATAAGTTTTCTTACTCCAGATATAGCTGTAAACACGTATTTATTAGTGTAAGCCCCAACTTGAATCCCATGCTGGATACAGAAAGGCTATAGAAACACTCTTGATCAGCAAATTAATAACTTGCTCCTGTTCAAAATAGCCAAATTGTACCGAATAAATGGAAAGTTTGCAAAACCTTTACAAATGTAACAATGAAACAGATTGCACAAGATATAATTCGTTTGTTACTTTTAAATATTGTTCCATACAGCAAGAACACTTCATTATTCTCTGTTGGGAAAGAAACCCGAGATAAATTAGAGACAGGAGGTCACTAAGTGGCGATACCAATATATCTTCGCTAACAGGATAAAATATTGTCCCTTTCTTGAGAAACACTGCCCTCTAGTGGGTTTTTTTTGTAATCTCACTTCCTTCCGCTCAGGAGCAAAGTGCTTATAGATCAAGAAATTTTACTACTGAATTTAAAATAATCGGACGAATAGACGTCTTTCAACAAAACACGACATGTTACGAAATAGTCTCCATATATGGAAATCTCCTACGCAGTCCTTGTAGGTTTCAGAATTAAATTTAAAAATACCCTTGCTTACCTTTAAGGGCTCATAGCTCATACGGTTTGACTCCCTGTGGACTCGGGACGTCTTTCAGTTCCCAGTATGAGGATCCAAGGACAAGGCTGTGGAATGATTTTCCAGACAATGTAAGACTTTGTAAGTCAGTGTGTCAACACCTGTCCTCAAACGTACTTTTGTACAGTAGCTCTTAACGCTGTTTATTTTTGAATTGACAATTTTGAGTAAGTCTTCGTTTATTTTAAAATATGATTTAAATGATTTATTGTTGACCACATAATATACTCCACTGCACAGCAGACGGGTATCTCAAAGGAAATTCTAGTTTAGGACAGATAACTTGTTTCTCAAGTCAGAGTCCATGTACTATAGTCTTAGAAAACAAAGGAAAAAAAACAAAGCTGGCCTTTGATCAATGCTTTTCGGATTGGTTAAAAAAAGTAATTCTTAGTTTTAGGAAATGCCCAGAATCACTCACTGTGTGTGATTGTAGGTTATAATTTACATTTTGTAATTCTTCATTGAAAAATAGAGTGCAGTGCTTCACCACAACAGAATGAAGTATGTGCATACATTTAATACCACCTAATTTCCATTTTCAAACTAGAAAAAAAAAACAAAGCCTCCATACTCTTGCATACAGTTCATTGCAAATGTTTTCAGACCCTTACTACGGTGTACCATTCTGAGAAATAACCAGATGGTGCGTGCACATTTTTCAAAGCTCAATACTTACTATTTTATTCAAATCCTGAACATTCAAACTGAAGAAACCTAGGGGTGAGATATGTTACAGTAAATATCGGCAAAAACTAAAGAGCAAGTACTGACATATGCTGATGCCGAGCTCTGTGATCTCAATATTTGGTGGAAGCACCTTTGGCTGCAATTATTTTAGGGTAAGTCTCTACCAACTTTTCACACAGGTCTGGCACACGTTTTGCCCAAGTTGTTGCTTAAAGATTGCTTACCCACAGCAGTGTGCGAGTCTTTCCACAGATTCTCAATAGGATTCAGGTCAGGACCAATTTTGTTTTAATTATTCTCAAGCCACTCCAGAGTAGCTGTGGCCTTGTTCTTTGGGTCACTGTCCAGTTGGAAGCTGAATTTTGTGTCCCAGCTTTGTGCCTGATGCAGGCTTCCCCCAATACTTTGCTCCATCTAGGTTCCCATCTTGATAAGCTTGGTAAGAACTAGAACATAACTACAGCACCAATGCTTGACAGAATGGTGTTGCCCGAGTGCTGTACTGTGCAGGACTTACATTTAGACCACTTTCTTGTATGGCCACAAAATCTATTGCCACATACTTGGAGCCTCACTTAAGGGCTTTGTCACAAAATCCACACGAGATTCAAGAAGAGTTTTTAGTTTTATCTTGCAGGCAAACTGTGGACTAGTGTGCAGGTGGTTGTGTATGCAGTGTAACAAATTAGTTGCTACTTCAAAAGACTGCAATATACAGTAAAAAGAAGCAGAATGTGAGATCTGTGCAAAGGTCTGAGTACTTTTGCAAGGCACAGAATTTTGGGGGGAGGGGTTAACGTTCACAATTCATAATTTTTAAGCTTTAATTCATGTCTCAGAACGTCTATTTACTGTTTTCTTTCTGAAGGCTTGAAATGGAGATGAAATTGTTTTTTTTTTCCGTATATTAAAATAAACCACATCATGTGGCTGGAAACTATCAAGGGCACTTAAGATGATAACCAAAGGGGAATTCAGACTTTTGAAAATGGCCAAACATGTTTACACAAAAAAAAAACATTGTGTTCACATTACCAGGATTGAAGTTTGCCTCCTTGTTATTTAATTATATATATATATACTTAATAAGTACAGAATTCCCCTGATGAGCAACCAAACCCATCTGAAAACTTTTAAAGAAGCTCATTTGAAATATGTTTAATGTGTACTGCCATATGAAAGAAGTAAATACATTTAGGAATGTGTTTCTTTCTTTCATTCCTTTAGCATGTATAAATATCATATACAAGGCTAACCAGGCAACACTGTTCAACATCAGCATCCAGTTAAGGAAGAATTGTTCATTTTAGTCCAGCAGTTTAAAGATAATCCCTGCATTCAGAAAATTGAAAAGCATATCCAAAATCTTTGTGTAGTCAAAAGTTATCACTGGGATGTCCTCATTTGAATTTAAACTGATTTTGTGTGCTACCTATAGGGTAAATGGAGTGTCTGATTCCTATAGTAGATGTTATATACCTATTGCATATGGTTTAGAAAACAAATGTCACAAAGACACAATCCACATAATACTGATACTGAAATTATTCAGGCTAAAGACTGTGGATGTATTTTTGCGAGGATGTGCCCAGCACCAAATATTTTTTTAACATTTTATCCCTAGATGTTTCACTTTCACAAAAGAGTTGAGTGGATGCCTCAGACTCTCACAAATATTGTATGATAATGCTATGAAAACATTTTTTTTAAAATGAGTCTACATTTGACATTCAAGACATCTCTCTCCGTCTTCTCATTCTGAGGCGGACCCCGGCCTGCGCGTTAGTTACCCTGGTAGTTACTGTCCAGGCCACTCGGCGATCAGCAGCTCATTAACACCAAACTCTTCTTTGATGCTTAGGGCCCTTATACCTCTGATCATTCACAGCTCGTCGTTGTCAACTTAGCTACACGGTTCCTTAATTTAGCATTTCAGCTCACAAAATAAAGGGACCTGAAGCATAATATATTTTGCACGGCCCCCCGTAAACGTTTTCCCAATGTCAATGACACCCAACATCCTCAGTAACTCCAAGAAAGGACTTCGGGCTTCAACAGAATCTGCTACAGGGATTTTTTTCCCCGTAAAACCAGAAATACCGGAGTTTCCCTACAATAACAGCTGGCAAATTTTCCACGATGGGCGTTTGTTTCTCGTATGCTTTTAGCAAATTAATTAACGGGAACATTTTTTTTTTAAATACACTGATGCTAACAATACGCCAGGAGAGCACGTATCATTATCAAAGACCCCCCTCTCACCCTTTTCAGTCTCTTCACACCCCTGCCTTCTGGAAGACGGTATCGCAGCACCACCAAGCTCAGGAATAGCTTTTTCCCCGCAGGCTGTTAGATGACTGAATTCCAAACAGCACACGGCCTCACCACCACCCGCTGCCGGTGCCATCGCCACCGTCTCACTGACTGGATGCCTTGTAATGTTTGCACTGTCGCGTCCTATCATGACTACTCTTTTCTGCACTTGTCTCCTGCTCCTCCACCCCACCCCTGTAGTTCAGAAGGCTTATTTACACATTACTACTTATACTACTGTAAATACCCATTTATTCATGCATCTATCTCCTCATTACATTGGTTATTTTTTTACTTGTATACCAATACTACCTCAGTAGCTGCTAATGGTTGTCTGTCCCCCTCCTCGTGTGTTTGTGTTGTACTATTATGCTGACTGGTCTAGTGTCCTGTGCACCGCAGCCCAGGAGGAACGAAAGAGAACGAAATAAGTGCCGAATGACAAAGTGAACTGAAAAAGGTCCGTAACCTGCACAAATAAAACAACGTGAAAATAAATACAACACTTAAAATTCAAATTCAGTGGCGTCATACAGGGCTACGGTAGGCCAATTGCTCACGATGGGTGGTGTTCGTGTTTCGCAGGCTTCAGCGAACTTTAAACAGGAGATTTACAGCACATGAAATAAAGAGCTTGTGTATTTATGATTTTAAAAAAAGCACAGTACGGATTTTCCTTGATTGCTATGGTTCAAACATAGTCAAAAGACATTCAAAGCATACACTGTATACTCAGTATAGCATATATATTGTTTTTTTTGGTGGGGCCCGGGGGAAAAAAAAAACTTAATTCGTGATGTAACGGACAATTACAAATAAGTCCCCCCACTATTATTAGTCCGTTAAACCTAGGGTTTTAAAGACGTACTTTTAAAGAAAATACTGTTCAGAGTAACATCAGACAAGCCATACCCTATAAATTTAATATTTTACTTACCAGTGAGATTACTATTTAAATCGTCAAAATACGCTAAAATAATAATGACTTATGGAATAAGAGGGATATAGTGACGACTTCGCACAGAGAGCCCCAAAGCACCTTTCTGTCCTCGCCGGCTCATACTGCAGGCCGGTGGTAATTGTTAATGAGAAACACCCGCACTAAATCCTCTGGAAAGGGGGTGGGTGGGGCTGTAAAAAGAAAATAACTCATTACCGGATATTTTTAAAGCATTAAAAAAAAATCAGCGTTTTCAAATACCAAATGATTTTTAAAAGCATCTGCAATTCATCACTCCCGTTTTACGTCGGTTGACGCGTTCTTCGACTGCCACCTAGTGGACCACACGGGGTTAGGCCTTTTCCAGGCGCTTATTTCGCTCGTCCCGAATTTAAACGAATCTGAGTGAGGACGGCCTTTATTTATTTTATATCGGCCTTTATTTTATACACCTGAAGAAGGCTCCACGGCCGAAACGTTGTGTTCTCTTTCTTCTTTTTTTCAGCATGGAATAAACCTATTACTTGTTCCTTTGCAGCCTACGCATGCTGACGCAGCTACCCACCTGAACTACTTTATTTTATATCGCCTTCCACGATACGTCAATACTGATCATCCTTCGCTTTTCAATCTGAGGGATTTCGAAGCGCTTTATACACCGCTGGGGAGCCACGCAGCCCTACCTCGGAAACACGTTCAGAGACGCTATACTATACTGATTCGCCATGCGATTTTAAGACAGGAGCACCAGGGAGGGCAGGTTCCATACAAGATGGGAGTCATTTTAAAAACATGTTTTGTAGCCATTTAAATACACTCCATGCCAATGTCTATGAACACTCCACGTCAACATTTCCTTGTTTAAAACTAGAGTTATTTTTCAGCCAACTAGTGTAATTGGTGAGATGGGAGCACTATAAAACAAGTCAGCCCGAACTGGCATTAGATGGGTCATCTTCTAAATCTGTACGTCATAATACTGTGCCGATTTATCTCGTTTCTAATATCAACGAAGAACATACAATTGTATTCCATTACAGACCTGCACAGAGCGATATACAGATACAAACCGAACCAGAAACACCATTTGTTTTTCAGGCTCTAATGGTACCTAACGGAGAAACAGGCGGAGTTCAGTGATATTTGCCCCAAAACCATCTTACATCGATTTACCCACCACTCAAAGAATTACTACATTCTTTCAAGTGCATTTTCATAGACTTTGGACAGTACGGAAACGCTCCTGGATTAATTCGTGGTTTTCTTCATGTTCAGATGGACTAGAGGAAGATGTAACTTCACGGTGGTTTGATACGGAGTAGGAGAACTTTAAAATGTGGCTGTGTAATACTTGTTAAAACTAATCTCACTTCACCATGAAAAGCAAACTGCACTACACCCGGTTTCTCAAGAAACTGTGTACACTGCTGACTCATCATTCCGTTTTGTCAAGACACTGAAGTCTGAACTTTCTATTGCAATCAATCAAACGCATCGCAGTTGTGAACTTCATTCTTGAATAGTTAATTAAAACGCGCTTATCAGTTAATACAGAGCACACCTTACAGTGACTCACTGAACTCTCACCCTTACCTGGCTTCAAGTTTTAATCCTTTCGATGACACGGCTGAGCTCGGATTTCTGGGCTTGAGCATTTCACTTATAAAACAAGACACGAGGGGGTGTCGTGCGTCGCTGGCACCCTGGGGTTAAATAAGTAAGCGTGCTATAAACCTTTTAACAAGTCTCGACACCGTACCGCGCTAAGTTATGTTGTCTTGGAACATCTAGAGACGCGTTTATTGAAAAGAAAAGGCTGTCGTTTCGGCATGGAGGTGGATATGTGTGACCGCTAGGGTCTTTTATAAAGGTGTAGCATGATCGCAAACACGATTTTACACATTCCTCACTCGGAAATAACAGCAGGACACACCCAGAGAGGGGGGGCGCTCCGATCTCAACTAACACCAGGCGTTGAGACATCAGCGCTGAGCGACACCAGCTTAAGCGCTGCAGGTCCGTAAACAGTGCGCCCAGCCCAGCCTGTTACAGGGATAGAGTGAAACAGGTTACAGTCATGTCATCGGGAGGTAAGACTTTGTTGGACTTAATAAAGCACCTTCGTATTTGCCACGGGGAAAAAAAAAACTGTTGTGAAATCGGCTGTTAACTTCATTTACAAAAGGAAGCAGAAAAGCGATGGAGTATCGCACCGACCGCAAAAAAAAAATCAAGCTGTTTTAAAAGACAACGCCTTGATTATGAATGTGTGCATATTTGATTTATATCAACACCCGTTGAAAACAGGAATCATCAATTGTTCGGGTGACCGTAAAGAAACTTGTCATGTTTTAAGAGGTTTGTTCAGTCTCCGCGGAGCCCTTGCGCACGACTAGTCCTTGACAACCTGGGCGATGAGAATCGATGAATTATTATGCTGCTGCCCCACAGTACAGTAATATAGGGTGGCGCACAACACACGCATTCGGTTAACCGATAATTGGTTAATAAAGGTTTTGTTTCATTTACCATAGGATGGTACTTCAGACTAGTTTGATCACGACAGAAGTACATAATAAATGATGAAGCCAGCTTTGCTGCAGGAAACGCTATGCTGTAGTTCTCTTTTCTTACTGTAAGGTAATAAAGAAATCATCGTGCGTGATGCATGAGGCAGCCCGTTGTTACTACGAAATAATCCGCAGTTTGTCCGGACAGTCTAGATCTGCAAGTGTGCGAATTCATTCATCGCCACTGTATGTGTTGAATCTGTCCTCCACCATAGTGGGCACAGAGAGAGCGCCGCTTTATCCTGACCGAGAGGTCCATCACATCAACCGAGCGACAGAAACAGCACAGAGAAGTCACTTTTTGTGAAACGGCAGTGAATGCCAGAGTGAGCTAAACACGCTGGACAAGACAAAAAACGTGCGCAGTTCTTCAGAATAAAGATCATCCCTGCGCGTTAAATGAGCACACTCCGTTTCCTCTTAAATATACCCTTATTGTTTGGCAAAGGCCGAGAGCAGTGATCTTACTCGGAATGTGTTCTAACTTTGAGTCGCTCACAGCCGCACTATTTTCACATTTTATGGCTGCAAATTCCTCCCCGGCGTCTTGTCTAGTTTTATTCTGAGTATCACTATGTGAAGAGTAAAACCGAAACTACCTTGAAGATTACGTTTTAGGGGGTGTATGTACTTTGTACTAAGGAATTTTTCACGCTTCCTGGATGGGCGCGACGCTTCTAATTAATAAGGCGAAGTAATATTTATTTTCAGCTTAAGCCTTTTACCACACGGTGTTTGCGAACAGAATATGTATCTGAAATGATCACAATAGTGCTATATCATTAAAGCCGGGGAAGCATCGAAGGTAGATGAAAATTTATAGATTTGGAATAAACTGCACATGCATACAGATTCAAATACATTTTTATATGTTTATACCGCTTACTTCCCTGTATGGAATTAAAAAGCACATTAAAAAGTAATGGAGCGAGAACATCAATTTATCTTTCTCCCCGACGTCCAGAATTCATATTTCTGTGAGAGAACACAGGAGGCACAGTGGGCTTAAATTTAGACTCACACCTTGCAAATTCGCAGGATCATCAATACAAACCCCTGACATTACTGGGTTTAGTGAAGCAGCGAAGCACAATGGATTTGTAGGGCTGCACGCTGAGTAACCGTGGGCAACAGGACAGTAACTAAACAAACGGTCTCTTTGTGAGACAGAGAATCAGCGAGGTCACTTCCTCTACACTGCACGGATATTTGCATTTCACACCTCTCGTCGTCTTTATACACTCTACCTACTTTTAGGACAGCTCAGGTGCAGGTGTGTTGCCGTAAACACAAACTTCAGAACAAATTGTTGCAAAAACGAGAGGAAGCCATTCCAGCCTGCTCAGTAGTTATTAGCCAATTGATCCCAGGATCTCATCCAGCGGTTTCCTCAAAGAAAGCAGACTATCGTCTTCAACAACATGGCTGGGTAGCTTGTTCCACACCCCCACCACCCTTTGGGTAAAGACATGTGTTATGTTCTCAGTTTTAATAGCCCCACCAGCTTCTACGTAGTACTTAATAACATAGATTTAGGTTTCTACATATATAATATCTTAAATGAATTTAGCATACCTGAAGAATAAATTCACATTTTTTTCAACTGGACTTTCTCTGGTCTCAAGGTTAGACGGTAATTTCCACCAATACGTCTTCTGCTGATCTCCATTGGTACGTGCAGGTCTCCTGAGTGCATGGCATTTGTCCTCTTGGCAATGATAGCTTAGAACTACAATTTTTTTGTCGCTGCTCATATTTAGCTTAAATGTAGTCTACGTGCTGAACGATCTTCAGGATCTAGTCAGGCTTGCAGGCATGGGACAGCTGGCTGCCTTCTTGAATAGCAGGTGGTGCTTTACAAGGTGGCTCAGTGAGCCTGCCTCAGGAGGCCCTGCACCCTGGATCCGTGCAGCATGAAAAAGCAAAGTCTTTGGCTGGATCAAGTCCTGTGGACTGCTGCTACTGCCACAGTGGCACACAGCTGCAGACTGTGCTTAGTGCTTCTTCGAGGAGACAAAAAAGAAATGCAAATCCAATATTGATCACTGCGTCATGACTGCATATCAGTAAATACAGTAGAACAAAACTGAACTCCTGTTGTACAGCATTCGTATTCATTCTGCGTTGGATCAATGGGCTTGATGTGAATGGCCAATGGCAAGGACTGTATCAAGAAAATAAGTTCTGCTCCTTCTGCATGATATTGATCATGCTGTTTCTAATCTATGTCAATAAAAAGTGAGTTTGGAGAGACAGGGAACATGTTAAAAGAATGCCTTTTAGTGATGGTATGCCCTTTCAGTGACCCTAGAGTGTGGGGTAAGAGCCAGTTCAGTTTACACTGTAAAGTCCACTGGAAACAGTTCATATATAAAGTTGTGTCCCTTTTAGGGACAAAGATTTTTAAGTTTGACTTAAAATGTGCATCTGATTCCGGTATGTGATCCTTTGCAACATGCATTTGCTCTGAAGCAATAATGTCAAGGAGTTTGCTGTTCATCAGGGTTGTTTTATTCCCACAGTGTTTCCATTCTGGGGCATCCATGCCCTTTAAGTCCTGCTTAGAGGAAAGGAATAATCAGCCAAGTTTATCTGGAGTCCCAGGAGACCAAACCCCATTTTTTTTTTGGTTCATAGTGACAAGTGAAAACCCTCCTACTTTACCGCTGTGCCAAGTCTGCTTTTAAAGTTGCAGCATAGCCACAGACAAAACAAGAAGACCGCAATTAGAAAATCTGTGCAGTGTACACAGCTTCTGACCAATGCATAAAAATCTGCTGATTTTTTGGGGGCAAAGTTGTACTGGTCAACCTTGTCTGTCTCAAACTGATTGCCACCATCACTTATTCCAGGTTAAATATTAATTTTTTACAGAAAGGCGTTCGTCTTTTTTCTAAGGGAGTGCCTTGAACATTCCTCTCTCACAGTGTGATGGGTGCCGAACAGTTAATGGGTGGAGCTGTAGTGAAGCTGGAAATGTAGTGAGCTGGAAAACAAGTAGATGTAAAGGTGAGAATCATGATGGTTGTGCATGACCATGATCATGGGTAAGAATGCAGATGCCACTTGTCTTGGCTCTGCAAGAAAAGCCCTTTTTTTAACTAGAAAACTAGGAACTAGAAAATGCTCTGTACAATGATCCTGCAAGGCATAGAATTGAACCAAAAGAGTATGTTATAGCATCTATCAGGAATTAGCTGTTAGGACCCCTTGGATTAAGGACTAAATTGAATGTTACAGGCATAAGGATCTGCTGTTCTTCTGGATTGTTCCTAAGTCCTTCACCGTGCTTGATCAGCTTGGTCTTTGCTGACTTTAAAAAAGCACCGTGGTTCTTTGTGCTAAGCCACTTTTGACCAATGCATACTTCACTCTCTATCTATAACTATGATGTGCTTTCTGGCTTTCTGTAAAAAGTTTTATTTCCCCGTTGTCAGAACGCAACAGATTTTGAACCGCCCCCCCCAGAACGTGCTGAAAGTTTGCCGTGTGTTGAAATGCAGGCTTGCCTTTGCTGGCTGTAAATGTTACCATCTCTCTGAGCCTCCTCCAGCCCACTGGAACTGGCCTTCTCTCAGGCAGGATCTGGGGTTATTGTTCTTTCCCAGGGTAGGGTTTCCTCTGAGCTGCAGGGTCTGTGACAGCGAGGCTGAGTCAGTGCCGGCTGGGGACGCCAGTTTCTATGCCAACCCTTTGGCAGGTCATTAGAGCTTGGAAACCTGCTCTCGGTTGCTAAGGCCAACGGATGTTTATGCCGGCTCCAGAACTGGTAATTGCCAAGGTGCACTTGCGCAGCCCAGATTTTGGAAAGCAGGACAACTCGGAGGGCAAAAAAAAAGGACGGGAATGCGATTTTATCCGCAGATTCGCAGGAATTGACTTTCCACAGGTTTTGAAAGGGATTTGTCTCCAAATTCCATCTAAACAAGTGGTGGTCAGATCATTCCTCACCTGTCTTGTGCATTTCAAGTAATTCATTTTTAAAGCCCCAGATTTCATTTTTCGTAAATGGAGGCCTTCCCATTTGCTCAATTTACAATTCCCGGTAGCAACAGAAGTTCTGCAAAACGCGGAGAAATACAGCGTTGATTCTGCGCCGCACAAAATTGTTATTTAAATAAGATTAAAATAGCCCTCTCTGTCTTTGATGTGCTCTTTTATAAAAGCAGTTGCAACACAATTTGTTATGGTAATTACTGGTAATCTGTATTTGTAGAAGGTTTTCCACTTTATCCAATACAATGGAGTACAGCACCCTGCTGGGTGACACTCTGTACCACCTGTCACATCACGCAGCACACCAGATGGAGATGTCAGAAAAGGCTTCAGTCGTTAAGTTAAGTTGTACACATCCAGAATTTAGCCAGCATACCTGAATCAACAGCCCTACACTTACAAACCGTGCTATGGAATAATTCCTGACCAAGCAGTGAGGAACTGAATTTAATCTCTTATTTTTCTTGGCTCATATAAACTCTCAAGACATAGTAGCCCACCCAGATTGCGCACTGCAGAGATGACTACACTACGCTGTGAAAGATTCAAACAGGCCAGATCCTGTACCGTACGATTTGAATATTCCCTTGACTGTTAACCAGGGAAACGCTAACAAAACATGAGATCCAAAAACTGACCTTCCTATGGGAAGGTCAACTATTGTATTTCAATTAATAATTTTGTGGTGCTAGGCCTGATATAAATCATGTAAAGATAAATAATTTACACAGGGATAGCTGAAGCACTTGGGGAGTATTTTATTATTCTTGTAGTGCGAGATGTTTTGCGGGGTTGCTTTTCTTTGCCTGCAGAAACGCTGATTTTCAGCGAACCCGTGCCGAGCTGAGACGCATCTATAAAAAGCATGGATCCTTTTGTTAAGCGTATCTCTTCTGCCTCCTCTCAGGTGATTGCTGGGGGACGGCCATGCTCTGGGGATTCCTGGTGCTGTGGGTTGCACCTGTGGTGGAGGGAGAGGAGGCCTGCGAGTGTCCCAAAGCAACCATTTTGCAGACGTTTCCCAGCGCCGTGTCCTCTGGGGCCTGCTGCTTGAATTACTCCGGCTCTTCCTTTGGCAGCGTCAAGTGGAGCCTCTTCTCTCAGCTGCAGGCCCTTAAGATACTGGATCTTTCCAGCTGCAACATCACAGAGATCCAGGACGTGGCCGCTTCCGATGGCCTCCTCCTTCGAGAGCTGTTCCTGAACCACAACAGGATAACTCTGCTGCCCGAGCGCTTCCTGGCCAACGCCAGCAACCTCAGGGCCGTCCACCTGGAGGACAACAGGCTGGACAGGCTGCCGGATCACTTTCTGCGGGCCTCCGATGACTTGGAGGAGCTGTATCTTGACTTCATTCGGCCATCGGCTCTCGCCCTTGGGCTCCTGAAGCCAAGCCTGCAGAAGCTGGAGCTCGGCAACAATTCCCTGGACTGCTCATGCGCCCTGATAGAGACGTTGCAGGGATACAGTAAGCCACAGGGGGTTAATGTCACTGATTGGAGCCGGGTGTTGGAAAATCTGACCTGCGCCTCTCCTGAGAACTTAAATGGCAAAAGGGTGTGGATGGTCCACAGTACAGAGGTGTGCAGGTCCCACCGGCTGACGGCCCTCTTTGTTCTCCTGCCCCTGGCTTTAGTCTTGGTCCTTTTGTTTTGCTGGTGCTGTGGGAGGAAGAGGAAGAGGAAAGAGGGCACCTTTAAACCAGCCAAGCACGCCAACCACCTGAGCACAGTGGACCGGAACGGGTCGGACTGGATGCTGGATCGGTACCATCACTACAAGCCCTGCGAGGTGCCGCTGCCCAGCGAAGGGGAGAAGAACGTCCTCCTAAAAAACCAGCTGATGCTCAGGCCCTCCACCGCCTTACTTGGCAGCAGCCGGGACCTCTACGAGGAAGTGGAAATCAGACTGGGCTCGGTGGACTCTTTGGTCCCGCCCATCTCTGACATCACCAACATGGCCTCCAGCATGGACTCTCAGGAGATCAGGCAGCCTCTGGAGGACGGCAAGCCAGACGTGGAAACTGTGAGTGTTTCTGAGGTGCTGAAGGACTCTGCTGACCGGGAGAAGCTGTACCTCACCCAGTCTACCGAATACTACAACCTGGTACCAGGCATTGACCTTGAGGACTCAGATCATGGAGAGTATGAAAATGTAGACCTCTCGTGAAATTAATATTGAACAGTTTAAGCAAGCCCTCCCTTCTTACTGTGCACTGGCTGTGCACGATGATCATGCACAGTTTTGAGTCAGATCCGTAGGACTTCACACCTTTGTGAGCACCGTTAAGGAGGAATGTAGCATTGAAAGACAGGTATCTGTATACATTCTGAATGCAGGGACTGATGTGATGTTTTTTGTCCATTGCAGTGGTATTCCTTATTAACGTAAGGAAATGTTTTTGATATATGAGGACTTTGGAAGTGCAACCCTAAAAAAAAAGACTGAAATATTCATTATTAAACACAGAGGAAAATGATATGGTTGAAATGGCTGTGGTTCTAGCCTTCACCTGCGCTGTGCACTTTCTTAAGCATATGTTTCCACAGCCCAGCTTTGCTGTGGTTGAATTCAATACAGGAGTTCAAACACTGGGTTTCTTTTCTAAATATGTGCAGTTGGGACCATTGTCCTGAGAAATGACGGGTGATGGGCAAACCGCTCTAGTGATTTTTTTTTGCCCTGAGGAGATAGTGAAGGTGTTGGGTGTTGTTCCTGTCCAGTTTGCTTAGTGTACCGTACTGCTCCTCAGAGTGAGGTATGCATGTATGACCTTCTCACACAGGTCAGTCTTATAGTAGCATACCATCGCACTGACAGTGCCTTAAAGCAGTCCACTGGAAAGAAATCCAAATGTTGTGTTTTTTTTCTGCTTTTTGATAACGTTATAGGAGGCACATTGGGTGACTATGATTTCGGAGCCTCCTTGAGAGAACTTCTTGCTTAGGCATGTTTAAATGGTCTGCTGACTATCTCAGAGAGAAATTCCTAGTCTTTATAAGAACAGCATCTCACACACACACGGCACCTCAGTTGTGAAAGGTTACTATTTGCTAATGAAATTTTTTTCGACCTAGATCAGATCAGCTCTGGGAGAGGTGGGGGGAAGTGGAAAAAGCTGATCAAGATAAGCAGCAGGGCAGTGAAGAGCAGATAGGATCAAGGGACTTGCTAATACATGCTCACAAGCAGCTAGCAAACAGAAACTTCCCACAAGAGCTGCTAAATAAAGCATACACTCATACCTTGCATCTGTCTATATATGTTTTAAAAAGTCTAGATTCCACCCAACAGAAAACAATTCAGGTCTGATCAGAGTTTTCTTGACTTTTAGACAATCAAAATGGCCACATGTAACAGCGTGGTCTGCTACATAAAGTATCTCAGTCTCGAGAGGGGGTGGGGGACTTCCTGGAATTTAAGAATAAGTTGCATTGTGTTTTTTAAAAGAACTTGTGCCCATTTTAGATCTCAAGAACTCTGTTTAACTTTTATAAGTAGCACAGACCTTTACAGTTGTATACAGATACTGTAAAAAATCTGTTAAAAGCAAAATGTTTTAAGCAGGACAAACCACTCCACTTAGCGATGCACTGAAGCACAGTAGAAAACAAATACTGCAAGGCACTGATTGTACATCATCATTTGGTCCTAGACTTGCAAGGCACCAGCATTTTTTTCGAGATAAAGAATTAATTTTATATGTCTAATTTCTTTTAAGAAATGTTTGTTTATATTTATGCTATATTTCATTTTAAAAAAAGACATGAAAAACAAAATAAATATTTTCACTAAAATAGCTGTGTGAGCTTTATTCCAAAGACAAGTGCTGACCTAACAAACTGTCTGTTAATGAAGGAAATGGAGGTCATTAAGTCTGATGTTTACTCAGAATTGTTTTTCAGAGACTTTTGCAGGGTAGAAATCAAGCTGTCTGTCTTGGGTACACTGGGTACAGCCTTACAAATGAGAGGCCATTCTGTCCAAATTACTATTTTTTCTTTTTCAGTAACCAGTTGACCCAATCATTTTCTCATTGTGTTTGGTGAAAGAAATAACGATCATCTTCAAGAACTCGCCTGGGCAGCTTGTTCACTACTCCCACAATCCTTTGTGTAAGGACCTGCCCCCTGTTCCAAACATGGCGGCCGGAACTAAATTTAATACTGGCGCAACATACTTAAAAAAAAACTAAAACAATCCTTTTTATTTAACTCCCTGCACCATCTTGATGAGAACAACAAGCGTCTACATAAAAATACACATTCCTAAGCTCTGTGTGTGTACAGTGCCTTGCGAAAGTATTCGGCCCCCTTGAACTTTTCAACCTTTTGCCACATTTCAGGCTTCAAACATAAAGATATAAATTTTTTATT